TGTGCCGGTACGCCTGGTGACCCCGCGGCGGCACGGACCACAGGCGTCGGCAGAGCGGTTCTCGAGAATGCTGGCAGGTGAGAGACTTATTCCGCTGAATTTGCCATCGTTGAATTTGGCAAAGTGTTTTCAAGGGGCGGTTTCGACACTAGAGCCTGGCTGTGGAGAGGCTAAAATTCCCAATTACGGACAGTTGAAGTATTTATTTACAATGGTGCCGCCAAGACCACGTCCAGCCTCTGGCGAAATCTTGTCAAATTTGTGTTTGGTTGTTGGTTTAGATATCCCATCCTGCAGGAATTTAAATATCGTCTCTCTCGAGGCGAAACCAATCGAGAGCATTTGCTGGCATGCTGTCTGTACATGATTAAGCAGACAGAATTGACAGGCAGGAATTATGACACGTATTTTCGCGCATTGATGTTTTCGTTGCCCTATGGGAGGTTAAAGAGATATTTGATTTCGTGTAGAAAGTTCATAGAGGTCGGGGGTACAGGATAAATTGCATCATGACCAAATAGCTCCAGGGCGATTTACTCTACTCCTAATTGTATGCAATGGATGGGAGTCTTGAGTATCTCAGCTGAACAACAGTGCCTTCTATCTTTCGGTGTACTTCTGGCCGCATATGTGAGCTCGTCTTGGGGTGGGCGCCACAAATAGGTTTTTTGTGGTATCGCTAAAGCTTTAGGGGTAGTTGCACGGCTTAGGTCTCCCGGCGAAACCAGAGTAATCTGAACGCCGTATTGGGCGGTGGGGAAGTCAATGTACCGCATATGCCACACAATATTTGGCGTTGGCAACCCAAGGACCTCGGAGAAGCATAAGCTTTCTGTATAGGCGGTACACATCATGCATATCAGTTGTGCATGGAACACGTTGCAGCAATATTGCAATATACCGATGGTGATGTCATTTTCCATACCAGTCAATGATTAACTGACATGATTGACATAGTTAATTGTCATATAAACGATAAGTAGACATTTGCAGTAGCTTTCCATATGTAGATCCATCATTTTTACCTGAGCAACCCAAACCAATGTAGCAGAAGTTGTAAAACAAACACCAGCTGATGGAAAAGGGCAGAACTTTGTCATGTCGCAGTTACGTCGAATGCTGAAATAACAGATAGGAGCGTATCTTTTTTGCACATCTTAGTGCTTCCAGCTTGTTTGCGGCGCAGCCTAAACAGCATGCCCGGGCATAGCTGATACAGCATGTACCGCACGACATCTTGGAAGAAGGCTCGTGCGACCCCGGAATCCGCCGGAGGCAGGCGCCAAATGCTTTGCAGCATATACGACTAATGCACATCCCTACCACTCAGTGTAGCATGCGAATTGGTCTAATTGTGCGGCGCGCCCTTTAACGCACATTCACACCGATGGTTATGGTTTTGAGTGACACGCTATATATATATATATATATATATATATATATATATATATATATATATATATATATTTGGCCCGCTCATCCCAAGACGCGTGCACATTTGCAGCCGGAAGTACACTGAAAGGGTAGTGGGCACTGCTATGTTTCATCCAAGTGACTCAAGACCGCTATCCCTGGCATAGATTTGGAATAAATCAACTTGGTACTGTCTGAACATGATTAACTTATCCTGCCCTCTCCTTCTCCACGAAAAATCCTCCCCTTGTAATACAATGCAGCCCAAGACAGGGCTGGTCGTATCATTTGAAAGGGGCCATTTACGAAAAAAAAACGATTATATGCTCTCCAAAATCTCAGCACAACAAATACACCTGAAGTTTATAGCTATCTGCACATATGTTCACTTAAGTCGTATTCTCATTAGCTATGTCATGAGGAAGCTTAGAGGAAAAGCAAATATCAACTCCCCTTCTCTCCTCTATGGGGGAACCAGGAGCGTAGTTTTGTATAGCGAGTAGGGGGGGGGGGGATGCGGGTTGAACAGTGAAAAATGCCCAACCTGCCCCCAAAATATGCCAACGAACAGATCTTCCACTGGGTTTTTCCCACTTTCCTCCCAAAGTCGGGTGGGCTGAAGCCCAAGTTTGGCGGGGAGAAGGGGGGGGGGGGGACTGAAGCCATCTAACTGAGTAGGAAGCTACATCTCTGGGAGGAACTATATTGCGTGAAAATGTTAATTTCACGCAATGTAGCTACTTTTAAATTATCAATTCAAATCGCGGCAGATCATCTCTGCCAGAGCTAGGACCCTCCGCTCCGGCAGAATCGTTCTAGGCTGGCACTCCTGTAGTTCTGTAGTTGTGCCAGACCAGACGCATCCACCAACAGCCGTTTCTCAGTTCTAGGGCTGTGAATCACTGGAATAGCCTGCTTAGCCTCTGGCGCTTTTGAGTAGTCCCACGCTTTTAATATTTGAGAGCAGGTCCGATAATTTTACACATATCAGGGAATAATCTACAATGAAAGGCGTGTTACGCAATCAATAGTATCGGTGCTTTATTTGTAGGCCGAAATTTTAGTAAATTTGAGAGGAGCTCATGCAGTGGTGCAAGCATGTCTCAGAAAGAGGGGCTGCCATAACCAAGTTTTAAGTCGGCTTCCACACATCGCCATAGGCTTAATTTCTACGCTTCCGGAAAGTGGAGGTGGCATGACACCCATGCGCCCGCTCCTGCATCCATGACGTCACTGGATAAAAATATCCAAAACAAACACGATGTAGGGGAGAGGGTGTACACTAGGGTGTGTCATCAGTAACAAAACCAAGTGAAACAAAGAAATTCTTTGGCGCTGGAGTCCAAAAGTGCACAGCATAGCAAATTCCCCCCCCCCAAAAAAAACTTCTATTAGTGAAGCGCGAGCCGATCGAAATATTGTCGTAAACCGGCGCCCGGCGTTGCAGTCACCAATGCTGACCGGCGGCGGCCGCCGCCGGTAACACCAAACCGTGGGCGGCAAGGCAACTTCGCCTATGGGAAACGATACTACTGAGCGTGTCTCAAAGCAATACGTGCGAAAATGCGCCATCCTAAGGTCCAATATGAGGTTCAGACATTGGCCACTTGATGGCTATATGTTGGAAACCTAATGTGCTGTGAAGTATGAACTTGTACGAGCACGTTTGTTAATACTGCTTTTTGACTTCCACTTCTCTAAGACGGCCCATGTGCTGCAAACAATACCATTCATAGCATATGACTCAGAATATATTATCTAGTGTACAACTTCAAGCAAGCACCAATGTCTGCAGTCTGCACCAAAGGCGTGGAGAGGGGTTAGGATAACCGAACACACATCTCGCTCCTGACCGAGCCTGGGTATTCGATGCACTGACTGAAACAGCAGCTGCTGAGAAACCGGAAACCCGTAACGCGTGTTGGCGGAGGTCGCACAATAGCAAAAGTACAGTCACAACCGGGCTGCTCTATTGCCGAAGCTCCAGCCCCAGCCGCGTATATTCTCGGCTGTGTGGCGCAGGCCCCACTCTGCTCTGCGGCGTTTGCCCGGGCACTGCTGCACTAGCCCCTGCCAGGCTGGTCGACCTGCGGTGGTGCCGTCTCCGTTCTGCGGGCTGCACGTCTTAAACGTTCCTGCCGGCGTGCTGCTGAACCAGAAGGCATGGACACAGTACATGCTGCTTGTAGGAACGCCGAGTGCTGGTCCAGCGGTGCGCTCCTTGGTCTCTCCTCTCGAAAGACTGTCCTTCATCTGCGCAGCGAGCGGACGCCATGATGCGGCGGCGACGGCTGCCGGACTGGGCACGATGTGCAGGTTCAATGACAAATCATGCTTCGTGCTACATTATGTAAATAGTTTGCCACGTTTGCTACGTTTGCTAGTTCTTACGGAAATACGGCTTGTTATCGAATAACTAGAAGCGCCATAACCGAGTACGTCAATGCAAGCAAACTTGTTGCACTTGCGGATAAATGTGCAAGAACCCCACTAGAACGGGCCCAAACACGAACATATGACGATATTTGGCTCAGCGAACACTTCCAGCACCGCCACTGCCATCTCTCGGCGAGCTTTAGTACTGCATGTGAGTCCGAGGGTGGCAATTTCGCACAGCTAGTTAGGCAACACCTCAACGTCATGCAAACGTTCCATGATACAATCAAACAATGATGCCTTGGGGAGCATTTGGACTAAACAGAGAAAGACCTTGTTGTGTAAAGCAGTCTTTTCTCCTTAATAGTACATCAGTAGTGACGGTGAATTCAGCTTATTTCATCACGCCTGTTGCTTGCTTCAATATCTTCAATACGGAAGATTTCCTTTTATTGAAACTGAAATGGTCAAGGACTGGTGAAGCATTTGGCCTCAATGAGTGTGAAGAGACGCCCGTGTGTGTTTGTGTCTGTATGTTATCTGTTATGTATGCATGTCATGTATATGTGCCGTGTTGTCCGCACGTGGTCTGAAGTGTCCTGTATGGATTTAGTTGGCACGACATTTCCGTGCGTCTCACAATATTGCGTCTCGCCCTAGTGCGCATCCGGGTCGTATGTCACGTCGCTGAGGCCGTTGCTACCACGCCGCAGTCAGGTGACGCGCGACGTCTACGCGCATACGCCCCCCGCCCCCTCTGCTGACACGCACCGCGACGGCTCGCACCGCGTCACGCCACGCCGCAGACCCTGCCCACCGCCAGAGCCTGCCCATTGGTTGAGCTGTCGCGTTGATGTCAACGCCGCGTCGCCATTGGCTGGCGGAGGGGGCGCGGAGCGTCGACGCCGTCGCAGAGCCCCGCGCGGTCTGGATGTGGTTCAGCGCCGCCTCCGTAATGCGGTGGCTGATTAATGTAAATAAACGTCACAGAAACCCTGCCTGACCATTGCTTTGGCCAGAGGAATTTCCGTTTCGAAGAAACCCCGAATTTCCGAGCTTGGTTTGCCGAGCTCACCCGCGACCGAGCGCGCTCCGTCGTGCCGTCCGGTTGGGGGAGGGGGCTCGCTGTTGGTGGGTCCTTGCAGAGCTCTGATTATGCACACGTGTGTCGGGCGCGCCGCGGCCGACGAGACAGAAAGCCGCACGAGCCGTCTGGTGACCAGGTCTGGCGGCGGGTCGCGGCAGATCTGTCGCGCAGCCAGCTGGGGCGCAGCTGCGTGGACGGGCCGGACTAAACAGCGTTGTCGAGCCGGGTCGTGACGACCGTCAGTTCGTCGAACGCCGCTGAGCTAGCGCGTCCCCCCGTCTGAGAGGCGCGCGGGTGTGACCGGATCTGGCGGCAGTTACGTGCCTTAGGCACGTGCCGTCGAGTCAAGTGAATTTTATTGTTACATTTGTCGTCGAGTTTACCAAGTAAGTATGCTTTCAGGGACCCTTTTCGTTCATTTATTGTGGAGTCTTGAGACTTGTATTACCACAACATAACCTGGTGATGTCCCACATTCTTTGGCGGATATAATTAGGAACGCCCCACGTTGCGTTTTTGGGATGAGAGCCATTGCCTTTCAACCAGAGTTAAGAACCAAAGTTAACACTTAATCGCGGATTAACAGTGATCTCGGTGTTGGCAGTGCCATTTTGTACAGCACGTGTGTATCCCGGAAAATCCAAGTATTCATGGATCCCGCTACCGTTCCCGAATACACAATCCGCAGCACTGAAACAAATTTATGACGTCAATTGAATCTCCATAAACTGCCCTACCAAATATTGTAGATTGAATGAGGCGCAGCACAATGCTAGATCATTGTTTGTTGATTACAAGAAATGCTTGTTTGATAGTACCATTAATATTTATTTGTTCTGCGTGTATGCTCGATGTAATGGAGTTTAAAGAGAGTATTGTGTAGTGTTCATGCTCAATGACGCAAGCATTTCACGCCTCACTTGTTAACACGGGTTTACCATTTTAGGAGAGACCAATACCGTTTAGGGGACGAAAAAAGTGACACCTGGCCAAAAGCCTTCTCTCACAAGCGTTTCAAACCGACGTTGAGCGCCATCGACCGGTAGCTCAGAGAACAGCACCAGCTGTGCTAGTATTGATTAGCGATCGTCTCGCCCGGTCAGACGCGTTACGAATGTTACCAAGGCGATGATCATTCACAACACATGTATTAAGAGCCGCAGCGTGTCATCGACTGACTCCAGTGACACAGGCGTCACAGCAGTGGGTGACGTGACGCAGGGCTCATGCGGTCGCGTCACCATCGCGGCCGTCCGTCCGTGCGGTCTCGCGCGACTGCCGCCAGCGTCAGACCAATGGCATACGTAGATGCAGTTCCAACAGCTTCTTATTGGTTATTGGTCTCCGCCGCTTACGGATACGAGAGATACCTCTTTAAGCTACGTTTTTTTTCGGACGATGCCAGCTAAGACGGCACTTTCCTGGGATTCATGGGTGGATGTTTACATGGGTGGCTTCTGCTGTTTCCGGAGGGTTCAGGACCCCTGTCGTGCCTGGGCGGCAAAGTTGGGATCGGTTACACTGTATAGGGCGTCTGCATCTGAGGCAATCTATGACGTAGTCCTGTGCTCTTCCGGGAATAGCTATGCCTCCCTCTGTCCCGAGAACAGTTCTGCCCTCTCCTGCCATATGGACAATGCTGCTCCGATGTCCTGAACCAGAGAGTGCTTGGACAACTGGCGATATTGAAAACGGAGGTGTGATAACGGCTGATGCTGCGATGCGTGCCCCGCGTGATTTATCGCCAGCGGGGCTTTGGTATGACGTCGAGACGAACTGTTTATAATGCGCGGCGAAACATGGCTTAGAGCCTTACGTGCAACTGGTGTATGCGTGATGTCTGGTGTAGTTTCATCAATGAGAAGTGCATGCATACAAATCTCACTAAAAAGGCATCATCTGCAACAGATATACCCTTACGTTCACTGCTGGCATTGCTACATTGAAAAGTCACTGCATTGCTAGATGTTGCATCAATTTCAAAGATCTAGCTTTTCCAAAATCACAGGGGAGTGATAACTTTGATAAGGTTTTAAATGAACTTTTTGCCCACGACTTCCGCGGACTCAACGTTCAAATCCCAAAACCCACGGGGGAGGTGCCAGTGGCCTTAAGCCCCTCGGTGCACAGGAAACTCCACCAAGACACCCCTAACCACAACTGCGAAACAATATCCCGGTCGATCACAGCACTTCACATTTTCTCAGCAGTTACGATTCTGTGTCCAACACGGAGCACCCTCTACTTCAGACCAATCGGACGCACAGACCGCGCCCACCTCTTGTTGAAAAGCAGCCCCAACAGAGTGGTGTCGTCTATTTCCGTCGCCGACAGACATCGGCCCGCGTCTCGTCGGCCGCGCGCGTCCCCGGCCCGCATGCCCGGCGTCAGGGGCGGACCGCACCCCATCGATCGTCGCGCAGGGTGCTGGCTGGCGCGACGTCGCCGCACCGGGGGCCGGGCTTGGCCGGACACTACGCCGTCTGACGTCATTCGGGGGGCGCGGCTGCCAACGCTGACCAACCACGTCGCTCTGGCGGCTGGCAGCGGCCCTGGTCACAGGGCGCGCCGCATGAGCACCGTTGGAGGGAGGGGGGGGGGGGGCGGTAAGATCAAACGGCTGTTGTGCTTGAGACTGGTCCGGCACACTATTGGATCTTCCACGGCATTCGCCGGCCTTGGCAGTGCTCGCGAGCGCTTCCCTCTCGGGGCACGTCGCCTAGGAGCCCCGTGGTATGACTGCTGGCAGTTCTTAGTCCCTGCTTTGAGTTGTTCATGACCACGGACTCTCCAAGCGGCTGTTTCGCTTCTTACCAGTATGAGTTAAGCCGTCGTGTTATCATGAACACGGATGTCATCATGAACAAGGATTACATCTATATCTCCATTCTCCGGGTTTTTCCGAGGAATAAGGCTATTACTACTGTCTTGCCCATGTGAATAATGTTCCTCGCAAATGCACTGAACAACGTGCGTGATTTTAAACGCGGTTTATATTAACTGGAGATTACAACTTGCAGTGGAACGTGCCACGTTCATTTCTAGATGATGTACATGATGATGAGACGACCTGGTCTTGTTGAACCGTGCATTATTGGGAATGGCCACCAAAGTAATATTACCTCGAGTCGGTTCTCGCCTCCTAGCCCTAGGTGTGTCTCAGTGAACATCACCAGTCACCTGTTTGGTTTGGATTGAAGTCCTTTTGACCATTTGTGGCTATTGCAAGGCTGTGGGAGGTAGGATAGCGCCTAGTGGTGGGCCAAGACTAAATGTACACAGCGACCCCTTTTCGGGGTATGTGCCTGGGGCTCGGACAGACCTCCACCAGAGGCGCATAAGCCCACTCATGGCTGGAACATACAGCTTTCCCCGGAATACGATCTTCACAAGGAGAAAGAAAGGATGGGCTAAGAAGGTCGGGTGTGAGCCGCGTTTGTGCTACATTTGAAAATGGTGAAGCCAGGTTCAGATGTGATGAAATAAGTTCACTTGCATCAAACCGGTATGCTTTTAAGCGCAAAAGATTGCTCTGGGCAACAATTTAACTTTTTAGTTAATGGGCTTCCCAGTGCGTTGTCGTTTCATTACGTTATGGAACGTTTGTATGACGTCTGAGCCTCTGCCAGATGACCGTGACCGTGTGAGAGAGAGAGAGAGAGAGAGAGAGAGAGAGAGAGAGAGAGCAGAGAGAGAGAGAGAGAGAGAGAGAGAGAGAGAGATAGAGAGAGAGAAGAGAGAGAGAGAGAGAGAGAGAGAGAGAGAGAGAGAGAGAGAGAGAGAGAGAGAGAGAGAGAGAGAGAGAGAGAGAGAGAGAGAGAGAGAGAGAGAGAGAGAGAGAGAGAGAGAGAGAGAGAGAGAGAGAGAGAAGAGAGAGAGAGAGAGAGAGAGAGAGAGAGAGAGAGAGAGAGAGAGAGAGAGAGAGAGAGAGAGAGAGAGAGAGGAGAGAGAGAGAGAGAGAGAGAGAGAGAGAGAGAGAGAGAGAGAGAGAGAGAGAGAGAGAGAGAGAAGAGAGAGAGAGAGAAGAGAGAGAGAGAGAGGAGAGGAGAGAGAGAGAGAGAGAGAGAGAGAGGAGAGAGAGAGAGAGAGAGAGAGGAGAGAGAGAGAGAGGAGAGAGAGAGAGAGAGAGAGAGAGAGAGAGAGAGAGAAGAGAGAGAGAGAGAGAGAGAGAGAGAGAGAGAGAGAGACGAGAGAGAGAGAGAGAGAGAGAGAGAGGAGAGAGAGAGAGAGAGAGAGGAGAGAGAGAGAGAAGAGAGAGAGAGAGAGAGAGAGAGAGAGAGAGAAGAGAGAGAGAGAGAGAGAGAGAGAGAGAGAGAGAGGAGAGAGAGAGAGAGGAGAAGAGAGAGAGAGAGAGAGAGAGAGAGAGAGAAGAGAGGAGAGAGAGAGAGAGAGAGAGAGGAGAGAGAGAGAGAGAGAGAGAGAGAGAGAGAGAGAGAGGAGAGAGAGAGAGAGAGAGAGAGAGAGAGAGAGAGAGAGAGGAGAGAGAGAGGAGAGAAGAGAGAGAGAGATACATAGAGATATATATATATATAGATATATATATATATATATATATATATATATATATATATAATATATATTATCTATTGACCTCGAGCACTACATCACCACATCACCATTGATCTTGGGTCTGGATGATCTTGAAATACTATACACGAAATAATCGGCACAAGTTCGCGGGCGTCTCACTCAGAAGCAAAAGGGTTTTAATTTCTTAAAAGAGCATGGCTGTGATTATCGCTGAGTGATTTTCGAAACGTTTATTTTAGTTCAAAACCACTTACAAATGTGGAGCACCCCTTTTAAGCACGAAGCCTTCGGAGCTCTGTGAAAGAATGAACTGCTGACTTCCCTGCAAGGAGTTTCATACCCGGCGCCGTGGATTTGACTGGCACGGTACTGATAACTCGCCTACATAAACCGCGTACCCAAAAGCTAGTGTGATATTTGACCTTAGTTAATACTTCGTGGACTAAAAATGTGGTGTCTTTTCCATCTGGCAGGTACATTTCCTTACCAGCGGACATATCTGTGAACTGCGCCGGCGACTCACGCAACGGGACCTATTCCCAGACCCGTGTATTATTCAAGACTCAGACATGCATGTGATCATGACGTCTGATTGCCATATGGTGGAGTTCGAGAATATCCCCATGTCCCATGCTGTGCTCCCCTTTAGATAAAAAGCCAGTAATAATACAATATCTATCGGACTAAGGCGCCATATTCGTATCCGTTGTGGTCTCACGTCATGTGTGTGTGTGTGTCTTTACGCGTGGATCTTCTGGAAGTAGCGTATTTACTGAGCAAAAGGCAGACAGTTGATTAAATGAGGGCTTTTTCGAGGGATTTAGTGTTGATCTTTTACCGAATTTGCCTGATTGGCGACGCGATTATTAACAATCAACTAAGAACCAGTCACGAACGACTCTCGTCGGCTCCAGCCGCCCGCATCACGCTGTCATCTACGTTGCCTGCCCATGAGTCTATCACACAAGTCAGCCCTGCGCTGAAGGTGGATCTCTTACAGGTCGGCATCGCGCCATGAGCGCTGCCTCGCGCGTGTCGCCGTGCTTCCAGCTGGGCACCAGGAGATCGTTTTCCTCCGCCGGCCAGCGACGAGCCCTGTTCTCCCGCGGAGAACACACGCAGGCGCAGGAGGACCCGCCCCGCATCTTAATCACAGGTGGGCTAGAGGACGGCGCTGCACGAGGGCGGTCCGACCGCCGGGGTGGTCGCAGGGTTTTGTGGAGAAGCAGAACGGCGGGCGTCGTACGATGTTGAGGGGAGGGGAGATGAGGGGAGACGACCTGAACGGCCTGAGGAGACGTCACTCGTGAAGGGGAGACGACCTGAACGGCCTGAGGAGACGTCACTCGTGAAGGGGAGACGACTTAAACGGCCTGAGGAGACGTCACTCGTGAAGGGGAGACGACTTGAACGGCCTGAGGAGACGTCACTCGTGAAGGGGAGACGACTTGAACGGCCTGAGGTTGAAGCGGTGATTGGATGCGACGTGCCGAAGGGGATGCAGTCAGCATGCAGAAAAAGCAAGGCCCATTTCGAGTGCCGACCAGGACACGCATGCCGTCACATGACGCATCCGTCATCTCATGACGTCACGTGACGTGACCACGTTGTCCCGCCGTGATGAGTCATTGGTTATGTCCTATAGGAATGCACTTAATCTATGCACAGTCACTCGTAGTTTGTTTTCGAATTCGGAGAGTGCGGAAGCTAGAATGAAAACCGTCATGACCAATCACAGGCCTCGCCAGTCGGCCACGACCTCTGGAGTTTTTTAAGCACCTTTATCGATTGAAGACCAGACCAAACTTCCATTCTCTTGAGTCTCAGTCCGAGCTGCCAACGCCCTGGGATGCATTCCCCATTACCAACAGCTGTCCACAAGTTGCAACCTATGGCGTCACCGGTAAGTGCGGCACAGCAGCTCTTACGGCTTGGAGAATAGTCATATGCGTCGTCATAGGTAGCAACTCAAGTAGGTACTTCGCCACTGAGGAACACGGCCCTGGTGGTTGGCTGACTCTGACAGTGCACGTCGTTCGTCGACGTGGCCCAGTCTCCCTCCCCCCCCCCCCCCCCCCCCCACCACAACAGTATCGCGGCTGAATGGAGCCCTGGCGACGGTGGTCTCCGGCCTGGCCGTGTGCCAGCGGCCTCAGCTCTCGGATGTCGTTAGGTGCTCATTGCCATACCGATGTTGGGACCCCACAGCGCAGGCCTGGTGGTCAGGCCCGCCACTCCGTGCATTACGTCGATTAGGGAGCTCGGTAAATATCATCTAACATTTATGAGCAAAATAATATGCATCCAAATGTGGAGCGGAAGCAGTCGCTTGCGCTGAACGGAATGCGCTCCAGCTGGCAAATGGTCGATTGATCTTGAAATGAATCTTTTTGCTAGGTTTCGATTTGCCCTGCTGAAATAGCTTTGTTTTTTTTGGTCTCAGAACGGACAGAACATATTTGCACTAGTAGCACTTTTGACCCTTGTCCTCACCCGTGACACGGCATGGGCAAAACGCTGTGCTAATGGAAGTACTAGTATCGTATACCTCTGTCCCATATGACGGATGCCAAAATCAAAACCAGGCATAATTGTAACAGCGCAAAGATCATTGTCCTAGAAATGATGCACAAATAGTAAACGCGCTAAGAGAATTTGATTTGACTCTAAGCATTTAACAAGAATAGAATTGCCTAGCAAATCTCTTTAAAAGAAAAGCTCCAACTCTGAATCTGCTAAAAACACTTGGGAACGGTAATATAGAAATACGTACGGACATCGTACAAAGCAAGATATTGGCAACTAAATTTACTTCCTTCCGAACCCCTGAACCTTGGTTACAGCTGCGAACATTCATACCGTTATTAGGCGATAGTGGCTTTTTTCAGCAATCGATGGTAGGTGTCATAGACCGTACGTACCTACATGCTCCGCCAAAAGTTTTTTTTGCAACGATGGGTTGCGCCCGGCACCGTAGCTTCCACCTCAGCAAACGCTTGAATTCGCCGCACTGAGGCACGAGAACTTCATAAAGATGTTAATCCCCAGCGCATAAAACCACAGCCAGGGTGACTACAACTGACTGAATGCTACAGAGATGGTATGTGTTAAAAATAAGTCATTTCAGAACATCAAATTGCTGACCAATGCAATGTAGCGATTTTGGGGACAAGGAAGCTTAGTGTATTTTTTTATGGAATGTAACTGAAACCTGTGTAAATTGAATAGTTGGACATGTTAAGTGATGATAACCGTGCGTCCAATCTGCGAATATTAAAAAAAACACGGGGATCTTGTCTCTTAAACCTTGTCTCTTAAGGAAGCGAATTTTACAATGCTTTTCAATTTGGCTACCTAACGGTGTCTGTGTACTGTTAACTTACGACCATATGGTGGAAATACCGTTGCATGGATCAGACATATCAGTTTCGTAGAGCAGGCATACTCACAAGAGGTTCAAAATGCAGACAAAACACAAAAGCATAACCAAAGCAGAACACCCAACTCTGAAAGCTCATAGCCATGTTACACGTTACATATTCGGGCTATTTATACTCGCCCGCCTCACCGCTGTTAAAACATGCAGAGCCCCAAATGTAGGCCAACGAGCCATATCTGCGACAACCTGCGGTGTGTCTGCAGCTCTGCAGCAGCAGACGTCCCACCCAAACATCCTCAGAGGGCGGGAACCGGCCCTCAATGACCGGCTCCCGCCTCAAGGTCAATAGGTCACCCCAGGGAGGACGACGTGTATGTGTACGTGTGCGGCGGTGCCTGGTGCACGCTGCGCATCAGGCGGTCCGCGCGGCCAGTGCGGCGCGGGGCCCCTGCGCACGCTGCTGCCTGTGTTGCCCACACGGGCTCGAGTGTGGGCTCCCTGTCCCCTGCTCTGCGTCGGACGGTTTGCACTGGGCGAGAGCGGCACCGGGCCGGACGTCGGGTCCGGCTCGTGGCGGTCTCGCAACGGCAGCCGACTCTGTGCGGGCTGATGAGCAGATCCGGATCTAACCGCATCGATTGGCTGATCGGCTGCGCATCAGTATACTGGATGACCTGGCATGGCGTTCCATTTAGCCCTCGCACACGAATTTCATAGCCTGGCGTCCCCCGAATTGTAGCTTACACAAGGCGGATCTGGCAATGAAGTTTGGAGGACGGAAAGGGGAGCAAGCTCGGTATGCGGCGCAAACCGTCCGGACACCGAACCGAGAAGAGGAAAGCTCTGCTTTTCTCAGTATTTGAGCTTGTTCGCCGCCTTGTGTAATCATTTCAGTTGATGGCCCTTCTGCACCCACCTTGCGATACAATGACCTTATCGCAGACTGACTGATTCACAGACCCTGAGTCACTTCAGACTCAAGACACACAGTCAACGAAGCTAACCGCTCACAGACCAAGTCACCTTGATACTGCTTCATGCTCAAAATAAAAATAACCTTGCTGCATGATATACACACCTGTAATTTGAGCTATATGTGACCCCTCGACGATACGAAAATTTTACGAAAATGTGGGGTTCGCGCTCCACCAGGCCCAACAGGTCTTGGATTGGCCGACACCATCGTTCGTGTATATATGTAAGTCATATTAGGTAAATATCATAATGTATTACAACCATATTATACTTTCAGGCAGAAAATATTTTGTCAGTTGCCTTTATGATGCCTTGCATGTCAATTTTGACCTTAAAAAACTGTCAAACTGCCTAAAACTTGTCGCTAGACGACATGTAGCCCTGTGTCGCAGAGTCCTACGGAACGTCTCAGGCAGTGGATTATCTTGTTTTAGAGTAAATTCCTCCCAAAGAATCACCATAGAGTCAAAAGCATTTTGACTCAAGTCTGTAGTTCGCACCCCACCAGGCCCCTTCCCTGTGCTGACCCTCCCCCAGCGCTGCCCCTGCTGCAGCTGCCCCATACGCTCCGCTGCTGCCGCAGGCGGTCTGGGCCAGCTGGGCACGGGGCTCGCCAAGCTGATGCGAGCGCGCTACGGCCGGGAGAATGTCATCCTCTCCGACATCATCAAGCCCGAGAAGGAGATCGTCGAGAGCGGTACGTGGGACGGCCGCAGGACGCGCGCCCCCGCGAGAGGGGACGGGCTTGGTGGAGCCGGATGTGGCCTTTGCCTGTGAAAAGGTCAGCTTTGGTCGTTGGTGAGCAAGGTCACGGCTGACAGCTCCGTGCCCCGGCCGTCGCTGGTGCAGCCTCGAAGCGTGCCGGCAGCACGGGCGGCGTGCTGCTGTCGTGTGCTGTGGAAGGGTTTTCGGTGGTTTGTTTATGGCCGTAATTTGCGTTGTTTTAGTCGGTTTGCTTGTGTCGGGAAACGTCGGCGAAATCTATGCGGGTGAAAAATGTCCGGTGCAAAATGAGGTTCAATGCGATTCCATTTCCAAACTTTGCGGAATTTCGACACCAGATCCACCCACATACTGGGCCTCTCTGCTGACGCCAGCGCGCCTGCGTCTGCCGCGTCTGCAGGGCCGTACGTGTTCGCCGACATCCTGGACTTCAAGAACCTGCAGGAGATCGTGGTTACCTACCGGATCGACTGGCTGGTGCACTTCTCGGCCCTGCTCAGCGCCGTCGGCGAGGACAACGTGCCACTGGCCATCCGGGTCAACATTGAAGGTCAGCTGCCGGCCGGGGCCCCGCTCAGCCGCGGTTGACACCGGCTCGAGTTTGTAGCAGCTGCGCGGGTCGGCCAGGAAAACCTGCCGGCCGGGGCCCCGCTCAGCTGCAGTTGACACCGGCTCGAGTTTGTAGCACCTGCGCGGGTCGGCCAGGAAAGCCTGCCGGCGAGGCACCCTGGGATCGAGGGCGACAGCGCGATGGGCTGCACGAGAGGGGTGGCCGGAATCTCACGCTGGAGACTGTGCTGCTCGCCCTCTCTGCAAAGTTGTGCACTGAAAGACATTGCGATGGCATGGATTGGACCAACGAGAAACGCGCTCGTATCTTTGGCCTATTATGGGAATAGAATTGTAGCTGAAAAGCAGCTTAAGAAACCATAGCAACCCTGGGGAAGCTCAAATTTTGCCGTTCTTGCGCTTTGACTAACTCCCTGACGTTACGATCGGTGGAACTGGGCGCTTTGGAAACCATGCCATAATGCGGGCACGATTACCGGTTCACTACCCTCCATAAGGCCTATACTAATGCCAGAACGGCAGAATTGTTACGGCTCAAACAGAAAACGTCTGGTAAAAACGATACCGAGGGGAACAGGAGGACGTACTGTAGCTTTTTACGCACTCACTTCATAAATGGTTTCGATCGATACGATAGTAGTATTAGCCTTGTTCCTCGGAGAAAAGCCAGGAGAAGGGAGACATAGTTGGGTTGATATTCCGATAACATGCCTTTATCGAAACAATAACAGAAGTGTTAAGAATAGCAGCTAACAATAGTGAAGCAGTTTACAATAGCAGCGAAGTGTTAACAATGGCAGTTGGCACTTTTGCTATTGTTTCGATAAAGGCATGTTGCCGAAATATCAACCTAAATATATCTCTATTCTCCTGGTTTTTTCTCCGAGGAATAAGGCTAATGCTACTGTCTTATCTATGTGAATAATGTTCCTCGCCAATGCACTGAACAACTTACGTAATAGTTTCGATCGGCCTAATCCAAAGCTATAGTGACAATAAGGTACAACCCTCCGGTCTCCGCGAGTGTCAAACTATTTTTTGGGAGTAACGGCGAATTCGGACAATATACTCTCGCTTTAATCGGTCATAGGAACTCATGTCGTCACAGAATAAAATCCCGTTTGCCATGACAATAAACCCCAGATTTTACATCGTGGCTGCATGTTCAAGGGATAGCTCGGGTCTGTATTGCGCCATGTTCAAGGATTATGAGTTAGAAAAGAGTCAAATCGGACACGTGTAGAGGCGCACAACCTGAGATGCTATAATGGCAAAAACGATTCGCTCGCAAATGTTGCTGTTCAGAACGGATGGTTTTCATGTAATAGGCACAATATATTTTTTACGGCCAACCTGACGCGCCAAGGGAGTGTTTGCTTATGGTAGAAGGGGCATGGTATGAATAATGTTCAGGAGACAGGAATAAAGCAATAAAGAGGAAAATGAGGCTAACATTATACTTAAAATATCGGTAAGCCTGTGCTGATACGTGCTGTAATAAAGCGCTGAGGAAAATAAAGATGAGCATTTCCAGTATCTAAGTGCGCGGGTCGAGTGCGGAGGCATGGATGCGTAAGTGCATGACATGCAAGCATGGCAAGACGTGCCAAGTCCTCATCATCCATGACAAGGCGAGGCATAACATTGCGTGGCGAGGCCTGGTCCATGTCACATGTGCCGTGGGGAGACGGATGTCACATCATGCCACTCCCAGTTGTGATCGCGTTTTAGTTTATATCATTAAGTCGGCAGACAAAGTTCAGGAGCGTGAATGCTCCATAAATTCAGGACTTATGGGTCTTTATGGACTAACACGAACAAGACCGTCATCTCACAGCCCAGACATTGAGGCCAGCAGCCGTTCGAGTCGGTGTCGGGGACTGGCCGCAGACCCAGCGCCATCCAGCGAGCGGACACTCAGCCATGCCAGCCTCTAAGCTTGGACCTCTGCTCGACACTTTCGACGCACGAACGCGTTCGGCTTAAAAAAACTGGGTGAACCAGAAAGGTTTCTAATTATACTTTTCGTAGAACGGGCGGACAATCTGATTCCAAACGGCAGCTCTTGAGGACCGACAAGGTTGTCGAATACTGCCACGGAGGCCGGCGTCCTGCGCTGCAGAACTGACGGCGCTGGTGCTCTCGACCGACGGCCGGTCCTCCTGGCGACCGACCGCCGTTGCTCCCGACCGACCACCGGTCCTCCTGGCGACCGACCGCCAGTCCTCTCGACCGACGGCCGGTCCTCCTGGCGACCGACCGCCGTTGCTCCCGACCGACCACCGGTCCTCCTGGCGACCGACCGCCAGTCCTCTCGACCGACGGCCAGTCCTCCTGGCGACCGGCGTCGACCCACCGGCCGGTCGCGACGCCCGGCGTCTGACACGTCGAAGCCGTCGATCGCATGAGACAGACCTTGGCCCGGATCGTCCGCTGACGCACGGAAAGCCGAGGATCGATCGCGAGCGCCAGGAGGGGCTCATCTCCCAGCGGATCCGTATGTGAGAGCCGCCATTCAATCATCAGGATGGAGCGAGTGATTCGTGTCTGTGGGATCTACTAGTGCTTGCTTGATTAGCCAGGGGCTGACCTACAAGGCTCAAAGGCGACGAGACAAAAAGGTGTATGAACAAGTTGTGAAAGGTGTAAGACAAAAAGATTGAAAGCAATGCGTAGGCGAAGGTCAAGAGCGAGGGAATCCCCTCCTTAAAATGATTTTGTTTATCCCACATGCGTCCAATACTTCTCCGGAAAGCAGCAGGCATAATATAAAAACCGCTGTGTTCCGTTCCAGCATCTAAAGAACAACGGAAATTTTGTCACATCTGCAATACTTTGCCCGGGTGACCAAGCCTTACCATTACGGCCGACATCGTTACCTTATTCGAGAAAACCGAAAGAATCGCTTTCGGCCCTCTTGTCTGGGAAACTAGAGGCACGGGGCTCGATTCCCGTGGTATTTGCCCTTCCTGTCAGAATGCGAAGCAGGTGACGTCAAGAGCCCTCAGTTTCTAAGTGTATCTTAAGGCTCCAATAGCAACAGCACGGTAGGTGTTTCCATATTTGAATTTACTGCCACTCTCTCTTTGGGCGTCGTGTTCGTTTTCTCCCAGATATGCGATGCACTCTAAAGGAAATGTTCCATATTCGAAGGTAATGAAGCGAGCATCAGATATGATGAAATAAGTTCACTTGAACTGTTATTGTACCTTTGAGTTGAAATGGCTGCTCTAGACAGCAAACTTCATTTTTTTTAGGAAGTATGCCCTTGAATGCGTCATTGCTTGATTGCGTCATCGAACGTTTGTATGACGCTCAGGTGTTGCAAAACTGGCCGCGCGAAATTGCCACCTTAGCACTCACTGGTAGTACTTAAGTCTCCTGAGAGGTAGACGTGGCAGTGCTGGAGATGTGTGCTGAACCAAATATCGTTATGTGCGCGTGTTATAGCCTCTTTTTGTGATATTCTTGCATATTTATCGGGAAGCTTGCGATGTTTACTTGCATGTACATACCCGACTGTGGCGCTGTTCTTAAGTCATTCGATTATGAGTCATGTTTCCGCAATATCTAGCATCCATGTCCAACTTTTTATGATGGAGCACAATGTGTGATTCACGATTGATTTTCACGATCTCAATCTTGATTTCACCTCAACTCACCATTGATCAAGAGCTAACTGACGTCCAGCACATACGGATATCGTGGCCACGAACGCCATATATGAATGACTCGACGACTATATGCCTCTTACCCTTGCGCGCCGCATGGCCAAGGGTTGGCAAGGATTAAATGACGTTTCGATGGCGTCATGCATTCCTAAGTGACCTTGAAATACTCTGCACAAAATGGTTCGCACCTTTTCGCGAGTGTGTGGCTCAGAAACTAGAGCGTCCACGTTTGTAAGAGGGGCAAGGCTGTGGACTGCTCCGAATGCCCTTCAAAATGAATATTTTAGTTAAAAGACATCATGCAAAGGTAGGACGCTTCCTTTAAGCCGGTTACAAAGGTAGTGAAATCTAACGGCGCAGAAAGCCATTACGAAAGGCAGACGACAACATGCCGACCCGATGTGATAGATCGCCACGAAACCCGCATTGTTCGAACCTCAATTGCCACTGCTGATGATCTGACACGTCCTGACCTTGGGCTGGATCAATGGCCACCAAACCGATGTTGATAGCGTTGTTTATTTATTTCACAAACAGTTCCAGGCTTCCATCGTGCTACGGCAATAACTGATACACAAACTACCACTAGAAGCGCCGTGGATGCCGCCACAAGACTAACGAGACCAGCATGTCGCGTTCATTAGGGATCGGCAGTGATCGTCATGCCTTGAAGCTAAGAATGTTGCCCCGGTGCCCTGAAACCACAAGAGATCGCGCGCCTTGGGTGCGACTTGTTCCGATATACCCATCAGTCATATTGACCTATCGTTACATTTTCGTGTCTTCCTGAAAACTCGTGGAGTCACCCCGATAGCGCGACACGTCAGAGGGCGAAAAATCAGTCTGACAGCGTAAGTTCCCCAGCGGTGTGCTGCGGACTCTAAACAAAACGTCGTCAGCTGACTCAGGGCACGTAACTGAAACTTGGCTGGAAAACACTGGGGCGACTGCTCCAACTCGGTCGAGTTTAACTACGAGCACGGTCAGCACCACTGGAGTTCTTCCAGGAGAACCTCCGCTCAACGACAACATATTTGTCCGTTGTAACCAATGACATTGAATTTTTAACCATCTGAAAGACTAAAACAGGCTCTCTGCGTGTCCAACAATCCTCCACCACAGGCTGGTCCCCACTGCAGCCTCCTGATTGATGACGGTCCTTGCCATCGTTCGGCCCGCCGTGCTTAGCACTGCTACTTAGCCGATGGTCAGCAGCCGGGCGGGCGCGTCTCCCAGGCAGCACCGCCTGACGACAAACGTCTTTCCAGGGCTGCACAACGTGATGGAGCTCGCCAAACAGTACAAGCTGAAGATATTCGTGCCGAGCACGATCGGCGCGTTCGGGCCGACGTCGCCCCGCAACCCGACGCCCAACCTCACCATCCAGCGCCCGGAGACCATCTACGGCGTCAGCAAGGTGGGCGGCTACGTCTGGCACTGGCAGGCGGGCGGGCCGGAGTCCGAGCGTGGCCGCTCGGCGGGAGCTGTCTGGGATGGCGCGCCGTCGGCAGTGTTTTATCAACACCCACCCAAGATAGCTCCGCACGCTTGGAAAAAAATAGGTTCGAATGCATAAACAAAGTTAAAAGATATAACAAATTAAAGAACAGCAACGACAGATTATCAGGCCGGGTCCATTCTTGCATGGTTTGGTCCGCTTTCTATTAGTGCTTTTTCCGAGATCCCATTAAGTCTCACAGGAACACTGCTGACTTCAGGTCCACGCCGAGCTCCTAGGAGAATACTACCACCAAAAGTTTGGCCTCGACTTCCGGTGTCTGCGGTTTCCGGGCGTGATCTCGAGCGACACGGCGCCTGGCGGTGGCACAACAGGTAACACCGACCGCAGCAGGTCACGTTCGGCAGGCGCGCCCGACGCGCCGCTCCGCACCCTCTGGAACCCAGCCTCTGGCTCCACGGGACTCCCGTCGGTTCGGAGCGGCCGCGCCGTCGGCATCGAGCCTGATCGATGTGAAGACAACCCGGTGAACCACAACTGAGAGATGACGTTTGCCGTGATGTGGAGGCGTCCGCGATGCTGCAGTGCAGCTCTGCGTATGCATTAGTACTTGACGTACCGTCCCCGGGTACTTCACTGTCAGGCTGTCGCTCTGGTTGGCAGACTACGCCGTGCAGATATTCCACGACGCCGTGACGACGGGCAAGTTCAGCTGCTACCTGCGGCCCGACTCCAAGCTGCCCATGATGTACATAGACGACACGCTCAGGTACGTGCTCCCGTGGCGCTTCGCGGTGCACTTGCGTACACTGGCGACGAGGTTCAGTCAGTTGGCCCACAGTGCGCTAAGTGTATTTATGACGCGTATTGGCGCAGCTATACGCTTGATTACGGTTTTTTCTGAAAAAGCTTCCCGACGGGTGTTGGCCTTGCTATGATCGCGGCTAGTGCCACCATAACTCTGCAGTGAAGATAACTGCTCAATGCCAACACCTTTTCTTTCCGAACTGCTGGTGTTGTTGTTTTAAATTGCCTATAGAACTACAACAGGCACCATATGCGTCAAACAGTTGCCCGCCATCGGCTACCCTTCGCTATTATTTGCTGTGGCTCCCTCTATCCGAATAGGAATCATGCTACTTCCCTAGAACGAGCAGAAAGGTCGGATTATCAAAGGTAGTTTTAGAGCGTACAAATCCAGTGCAGCTGAGATGTTGCGGATTTGTGCTATGAACTCCGGTCGTAACGCCATGGCCTAAAACGCTGCCGTAATTAAAGTCCCACTACCACGCGCCCATCTTGCCATATTTGTTTTGTAAAATCATTCCTTATGGTTTGCATGGATGGCCTTGGGTCCAGAGTACCTACTAAGAATAGCGCGTTGCGTGTACCCTGAACCCACCGCCCAACTCGTGCCGTCAAGTTCAACGGATAATTGTCTATCCATTCTTTCGCCAGACAGGGATGCTGAGCGCTTCACGTGCCGCACAAAGCACCGACACGACCGCGCCGGAGTCCCTCATTGGCCCGTTGACAGCTGACCTTGCCGTTTTAGTCCGACCAAACAACACGCCCGTTCTGGGATTTGTACCCAGTGCCGCTGTATTACGAGTCCAGCATATTTCCGCGCGACCACGGAGGCGTCGCATACGGCACATACTACCCATGTTAAGGTCAAAATTTGACGGGTTCGTTGTAGCGATAAAGAAAAAAGAAATGGCGAAAAACTTAACGAGTGTATATGTGTGCATCCTGAAAATGCCTACCTATGTAAAGAAAAACTGTTTAGCAGCATTTATCCGCCTAACAAAACCGCGTGACTTTAGAAACAACGCCGTCGAACTTAACTTGTTTCAATTGCGCATTCCAGCAAGGGGACGGGCATGGGGATGAGGCTGTTGAGCTACGCACGACGGATGGTTTACGCACTGGTAAACTTTGTTCTGTGTCGGAAACTTCTTCCATGATCCTATTTAAGAATATAATGAGACGAGAGCAATAGGCCCCCGTCAATCGAGCTTCATTCAGCAAGCCTGCTTGTAAGAACATTGCACCATAGCCTCATAACATACACCGTTTCCCCAAGCCGACCCATGCCGGTAAATGTGATACAATATTCGGGGGTAAAAAGCCACTCTGTGTCATGACGATTGGGCGAGCAGGTGGACGATAAAACCGATTATGGCCTAATGTATACTTGTCTGAGCTCGCCCGTACTTATCCGAGCAACCACTGACATATGCTCACTGCTAGCTTCGACGGCGTTTGGTCGCAGGCTCGCGGTCCCAGTGACGCATTCTGCGCCACGAATTGGAGGTCGGATTGGAGGCGGATTGGCAGCCGGATTAGAGGCGGGCGGGCAGTTAGCGGTAACACGCTGTCGTGGCGCGTTTATCCGTGAGTTTAAGATCTGTGCGTTTTTGCTGGAAATCCATCCACGAAGTAAGAGTGAGCATGAGATGCTTATTTGCATTCACATACTCGGTTATGGCGCTATTCTTAAGTTACTCGGTTACAGGTCTTGTTTCTGTAATACCTAGCAATTATGTCCAACTTTATGAGTTATCTATCACCAAATGTGTTTTGTGATTGAAACATGCACATCTTGCTCTTCATTGATTGGAAGCCAATCGTGGTCCCCTATATTTGGAATTCGTGCCCACGGACGCTAGATCTAAACGGCTCGACAAGTATTTCCTGGCCTTGACCGCCACATGGTCTTTGAGGTGACAGGATTTGAAGGAGGCTGCTATGGCGGCACACACATCAGAAATGGCTGGACATAGTCTGCACAAAAAAGTCTGCACATCTTTACGTGCGTGTGGCTCAGAAATTAGGGAGGGTTCGGTTTATGAAGGGCAGGTCTGTGAGCTGCACCGAATGATCTTAAAATGGCTATTTCATTGGAAACCATATACAAATGAGGAACATCTCCTTCAAAATGGAAATGATAACATTGATGCTGACCCATCACAGTAATAATCTGAAAATGGGTTGGCTCCCTCCAGCAGAGGCGTTGCCGGGCGTTGAGGCCAGCCGATGACTTGCAGGGGGTCCCGACCGGTACTTACCGAGCGGCAGACCGGCGATCTGGGGATCCAAACCGCTCAAACAGTAAGGCCGACGCTGCTGCCGGGATGTCCGTGAAGTTTCGCGGGCATGTCGCCAGCAGCGTGGCTTGGCCCTCCACTAGCGAAATCCCGGTCATTTTTGGGACGTTCCTGCGCACTTGGGATTTTCTGTACAGCAAAGCATCTAGATACCTTCCGTCGATCGAGGTGGTAATTGCTGTGTGGAGCTTGCCGCCATTTCCACAGTCATGTTGCTTGGTCTTTGTTATTCACGGACCGCGTGCAGCTATCATTAAGGGACGAAATTGCAGGCCCCCGCACTCCTCCCCTCCCCCCCCCCCCCCCCCCGTCTAGATAGCGACACCCTCGCAAATCGTCTATTTTCCTTGTTTTCCCGCTTGATCCCAATGATTATAATTAGCTTATATGCGACTTGCTTGCCTGGCAAGCCTGACCGGAAGTGGAGAGAGAACTGTAGCAGAAAGCCACCCTCTGCTGGGACGCATCAGCTTCATAGGACACGGCTATTTGCACTATACTCTGGAGCTGGAGCTGGGTGATGCTTGTTAGCATGCCATAAATGCTCTAACATGGGGCAGTGACACGCTGCAGCTGTACAGAAGCTGGGTAAAGACATCACAATAATATCCAGAAGCTAACGCACCTGAGAATACATTATGTGAAAAAGAGGACAAATGTTGCGCAGGAAGAACGCGAATAATGCGTCCCATCCGGAACAGATGCTTGATAGCTCAACAATGCTAGACAAAAGAATGCAAGGATATGATAGCGGGAGAAGCCTTTTAGCAATCTTATATCTCTCCTAAGCTCTTGGAGGCTCCAAGAAGCTCACCATTGGCAGGCCGGTCAGGGGGATGGGGAAAGAAGTGGCTTCTGAATATAATTAACTGAGCCACAAATTTGTTGCTGGCACTGTTGAGCTGAGTGGGGTTGCAAGGGCATAGTTTCACAAAATGAGTTGAGAGGGGGGGGGGGGCACTCAATAATAAAAGATGACCTAACCAACCCCGAAAATGTGCCAACAAATAGGTTTCTTCCCAGATTTGAGCCATTTTCCCAAAGTTGGGGTGGTTGAGCCTAAGATGGGGGGGGGGGGGGGCGGGGACGGAGAGGCTGGAACCTTTCCAACTGAATAGGAAACTGCACCCCTGGCCTAGTGCCTAGTGCCGGGTATTTCGAAAATATGCCCGTATCCTTATGTTTCCGACGACGTCCTAGGTTTGCTGGCTGGCTAGTGTTGCTCCGATGGCATACCTTTCCTCCGTTTCTTGATCGGACCAGGTCTAAGGAGGCTGTCTATCACTGTATATAGCCTGCGCCTTCTCACGTTCGCCTTCCCACAACTCATCATATCCGTCGTCCGCTGGCGCTGAACCGCCTCCAATTACTTGGCACACCCGGCCCATAACCCGAATGCCAATTCAGCATAGCTACGTGTATCGCATTTGACGGCGTCCTGAGCCGGTCCTTCAGGCTTTTTTGCTGCAGTTCTGACATGTTCGTAGAACTTAAGCTCATGGTCCGCCAGAACGCCTGCTGTCGCCTGATACTGTAAAACCCTGAATCTTTTTTACCTTCGGGTTTACAGGTGGATGAAAGAACATTGCGAAATCGACTGCCAAATCGGACGAAGACGCAGTTTTCTTGTTCATGTCGATGATGCGTATAGAATGTTTGTCTCTGAAGAGTCTCGCTCAATCTGCCCCTATAAGATTCATCTGTGCTTATCTTTTAGGCTGTTGCCAATGCTTTATATCGACGGGCTGGTTAGCTGCCAATAGGTAATATAGATGGGTGGTTAGGTTGGCCCCAGGACAGACAGCTGAGCGAGCCCAGTCAGACAGCGCTGACCGGGACTGACCGCTGGTGGTGGGTTCTAACACCTACGAACATCGCGCAGCCGACGGAAATGTGTTGTAGCCAGGCTATAACCTGGGCACTTGCATGGGGCATCACCGATGACATAACATATGTCACCGTCTTTGACATTGTCCTGCCGGTGACAAAGAAAATATCTCCGTCTGTGACGCGAACATGTCCCTCGCTGCTGAGTACCCCTCGGTGAGCCTCGAGGTGCCGTCACCTCTAGTAACCCCACCTCGCCGGCGACCTCCAACGGGACCTCTCACGTGACCTCTCACGTGACCTCCGCACGCCTTGGCCCTCGCCGCAGGGCCCTGTGGGAGATCATGGTGGCCCCCGAGTCCCGTCTCCGCTGTCGCACCTACAACGTCACGGCCATGAGCTTCACGCCCGAGGAGCTGGTGCGGGCCGTACGCGAGCACATCCCCGAGCTGGAGGTGTCCTACCGGCCCGACTCGCGCCAGAAGATCGGTCAGTGGTGGCGCGGCCGGCTCGTGCCAATTGGCTGGTGGGGTCACTGGGGGGGCGGTGGAGCTTTGGCGTAGGCGTCACGGGTCGGTGGGATTTGCGCTTTCGCAGCGTGCGGTTTTTATCGCATGTGAGCCTTATTGACCAGTGTGAGGTGGGGGGGGGGGGGGGGAGGCGTACGCCACGATATATTTGCTATTGGGTTTACCTTTATAATGTCATAATCAGGCTCTTCCTTCATTCCGATTTTCTGTGGCGGGTAGAACGAGACTCGTCTGACGTGCGAACCATGTGTGGAGGCGAAAAAAACGATGCCCGCCAACCATCGGACTAAGAATGGTGATTTTTATTTGCAGCTGGCCTGTTCCCTGTTTGTGTCAGCTGAACAGTCCTGTTGCAAGCAATCCGCCTTCTTCTCCTGAAGCTTCTCTGTCCCCACCCACCGCAGATGATTCCTGTTGCCACCCAGTTGCTGACATGTGTTCTTCCCTGCATTTGATCTGTGTTCCTCCATTACAGCCGGCCGGTATTCCGCTCCTGTTTTCATCCCCAGCTACTGACTTATGTTGCCCTCCCGCCGCTGACCCGTGTCCCTCCCCTGTAGCTGACATGTAGCTGACCTGTGCTCCCCCTTCCAGCTGACGCCTGGCCCCAGGTGTTTGACGACTCTGCTGCCCGCGAGGACTGGGGCTGGGGTCACGACTACGACCTCAGCATGATGTGCAAGACGATGATAAACGACCTGCGTGAAGCCTACGGTGTCAAAGGTGGAGAGCATGTAGACTCGTCCGCCGCGCAGACTTGACCCGGCTGAGACGGCTCAGTGCAATGTGCAGCACCGTGCAATGGCAACGCTCAACGGCGATGCTGAACTGTGAGGCTGTATTGTCTATCGGCTGGGACCGTTTATGTTGTGCACCAAACACACCGCGTAGTATATCATCAGAAGAGCCACGCACGCCATCTAGCGGTTTGGCAACGCCCGTCGTCGTATCCGAACCAATAAACCGTCTATACCGCTTCAGGAGCGTTTTCCAGCCGACGCGTCGAGTTCTGCTGGTTTGATTTGGTTGATTGGTATTGAAGCCCTCTCGGTCAGCGATGGCCATTTCAGAGCTAAAGGGCTGAAGCGAAAGGGAGTGTTGGGGCAATACTATACCCATCTGGGGGGGGGGGGGGGGGGGGGGTCTCGACTGTTGACCCTCATCCCGTGCAGAGATCCGTCTTTGCGGTTAAGATGGACACTCTGGCGGGCCCAGCAGTAGTGGAGTTTCCTATTCAGCTCGGAGGCTTCCCCCTCTCTCCCAGCCCTGAGAAAGATGAGATAACAAATTCGGGGAGGAATCCCTATTTTGGCCTAATTGAGGTTTGCCTTGACATCTTGTGAGACTTCGCCCGGAGCTTCCGCCAAGGCGCGCCTCATGACTAACGGCCGCAGCTGCCCCGGAGTTGCGAGTATCAGGGTGACGCGGTGAGCAAGCACAGAGGGGCAGGGGGCTTTGCTGACAGCACCACAAGAACGGCGGGACCGAGGTTTGTGAAGCTCACGAGAAAGGGAATGCATGATGCGAAGCACATCTCACCCATTTATAGAGCCAGAGCCACAATTGTAAGGGTTGAATCGGAGCAAATGACGCCAGATAAGATAATTCCCACACGTGTTGTCATCCTACGCCGCAGAGACGCAGCCAGGATTTTAAGGGGGAGGAGGAATCGGAGCTCTGTAAGAACGCATCACACTGATGTTTCCCGCTCGGGCGTAAACCAATTATGCAAAGGAATAACTTAACAAACAAATGTAAGGGAGCCTAACCTCTGGACCGTCTCCCCCTCCCCCCGCCTTGCCTGTGGTATACAGAACCAAGCCAAATCAATCGGGCTACAAAGAGCGATCCGACAGCAATTGTCATCTAGCGTCAACTACGTAAATCACTAGTTCGCAAGAGTCCGCCGGCAAACGCGCGCGCTGTCGGCGCTTCGTTCGCCCGGCAGCGACGGCCGACGCATCCCAGTCACGTGGCCGAGGCACCGCTCACGGAGTGTTCGCCGGGGCGTTGTCGTTGGGCGACAGCGCTGTTCATGTGGCGCACGGCACTAAACGCGACGAAATGGTCATGCTCCGAGACTGCGTGCTCATACACGATTGAGTAAGACACCGACGTTGTAAATCTTCGTGGAACTATCTCAGTTGTGCTCGCTCTGAACACATGCCGGCTGGAATGACGCTGCTCAGGAGCTCTGTAGAATAGTTCGGTTCACACTACGACCACGGCGTAAGTTCGTGAACCCTCGCTGACGCTGCTCAGGAGCTCTGTAGAATAGTTCGGTTTCACACTACGACCACGGCGTAAGTTTGTGAACCCTCGCTGACGCTGTTCAGGAGCTCTGTAGAATAGTTCGGTTCACACTACGACCACGGCGTAATTTCGTGAACCCTCGCTGACGCTGCTCAGGAGCTCTGTAGAATAGTTCGGTTCACACTACGACCACGGCGTAAGTTCGTGAACCTTCGCTGACGCTGCTCAGGAGCTCTGTAGAATAGTTCAGTTCACACTACGACCACGGCGTAAGTTCGTGAACCCTCACCAACCTTCAGCCTAACATCCAGAGCGACGCGTGGAGGTTAACTGAGGGCAATGTCGTCTCCCCCAGCAAAACAGCGTCACGGGAGCCGGAGCAGCCGCACTCACCCCCATTCCTGTCGACTCTGATTGCTGCTCATGCTCATATTATTTTTGAGACATATATATGTCTTTCTTTAATTTGCAACATACCGCGACCACGCTCGAGCAGCACTGTGGACCATTAACTCGAAACCGTTTCAAGGGAGGCTGGCCTGGCTTTTGTTTTGAAGCGTTTTCCTATGATTGTTGCCATTTCTTTAAAACGATTGTAGCAATTACAATAACTTAATTGTTTCATGTAATCTGGGTGATTACAAGGGATACATCAAAAGAATATTCAGCCGGATGTTGCCAGTATGACTGGGTGTTGGCAGGATACATCATGTAGCTTGGGTTATGCTTCGTATAGTCTTATAAATGATGACACGTCGACTGTAACGGATGTTTTGTGCCCAGACCGCACGTTAACTAAAAAAACAGCTACAACTGTGATCTGTGTAAGTTTTAGATTTATGTCACTCCGCGTTGTTTTGCTGGAACCTAAATGATTAGGCAGCAGACAACCCGTCGAAAGTGCATCAACAGGCGTTGTATATGGAGTGAGTCACGGGTTTTTGGAAATACGCTTGACACGTGGACGTGCAATAAGCAGGAGAAACTATGACATGCTCGAGGCAGGGCAAAGCCAGAGTAAAGGAGTTTGAAAACGGCCTTCGGTCTACTATTTGCTGCTAAAGCTTCGGAACTCGACGCTGTGTAAGGGACGCTGAATTTTCGGTGCTGCCTCGTGCAGCGTTTGGACATATTAATAAACCATGCTATAGAAAGCGGACCCTTTTATTGAATCGCCTGTCATCACAATATATCATTGAAATATCAATTTAGTGACAAATTTTATTCCAGGAAGTGCGCGATTTTACGGCTATCCAAGATAAGAAATGATCACGTCCCGCATTGGAGTTTTGAAGAGGGCTTGAAACACGCTCCTTTCTTTGCCGCCACATGTATTTTGTTGCTTCACTTGTTCGCAGCATCGGTGCACATCTAAAATCAATTGTAGTTAACTGGAACCTTAACCGTGATGGCTATCAGTCTTTATTTTGTATTTCAGAGCTAGAATGACGAACAGTGTGGAACACCCAGGGGCGGATTCAGAGGGAGAGGAAAGCCACGGGCCATGCCCTCCCCCCCCCCCCGTGGGCCCATTGGCTCCGAGGGGGGCCCATAGCTGGCCGAAGAGGTGCGTTTTTTTTAGCACAAAACGCAGCACAATTGGATACCTCTGAACTTCCACGCGACCAGGAACAGTTGTAAGCAAAATTAAATGGCCTGTAAAAAGTAAAAAGAAAACATGATTGGAAAACTTGTGAACTGGAAATTGTAAGCCTCATTACACTGTCTAGGGGCCCATGCTGTTCCCGGGGGGGAGGGGGAGGGGGGCTATATGCCCACGTGCAGGATCATTTCGATCGTTAAGGAGCGTTCCACGTTGCCCTTCATTTCCTTGCATTTGCTCCGAGGGCCCTGCGCTGTTGTTGGGGCCCCTTCTGCTAGCGCGCCCGGGTACTCCCACGGATTCTTCCATTCGCCAGAAAGTCTTTGTGAGCTATATCCTGGTTTCAATATCTTTATCTGTCGGGGTATTCCCGGGGCTCCTCAGGGGCCCTTTACATTGGTCTCGGTTAACCTACCGACACACTTGCGATATGCTCATGGGTCCTCTACATTGGTCTATGGCGCTTCCCATTCTCTGTCACTTGCTTAGGGCCCTACACTCTTGTCGGGGGCCCATCTGATGGCCTGCTTGGGCACACTCAGTCGTTCGGGGACCCTCCACACTGGGTCTTGGGTACTTCTTTTCTGAATGGGGGGCCCTGTGCTCCTTTGGGAGTCCTATCTGAAAACCTGCACGGGCACATTCGATCGTTCGGGGGCCCGCTACATTGGGCATTGGGCACGTGCTACTTGAATGTGGTTCAATACACTTGTAGGGGGCCCCTCTGTTTGCCTTTTCCGCCACACTGGATTGCTCGGGGAGGGGGGGGGGCTGCGCATTGGTTCTTGGTGTTTGAATTTAGGGCCCTCTGCTGCCATCGGGGTCATGCGATAACCTGTTCGGGTACACCCCATCTTTCGGGGGCCCTCCGCACCTGGTTTTGAATAATTCTTATTGGAATGAAGGGCCTTACGCTCCTGTTGGGGCCTCTTCTGATAACATGCTTGGGCCCATTCGATCGTGGGGGACCTCTACATCTGGTTTTAGGTAATTCTTTTTTGAATGGAGGGCCCTCCGCTATTTTCGGGGGCCCTATCTACCTTAACCTGCTTTAGCGCACTCGATTTTTCGGGGCCCTCTACATCGTGCCGTGGGTATTTCACACTTGAACGGAAGGCCCTACACCTTTGCCGGGGCCCCATCTGTTAACCTGCTCGGGCACACTCGAATATCCGGGTGCCCTCCACATTGTGTATTGGATACTTCCTATCTGAGTGGAGGACCCTTCGCACTTGTCAAGGACCCCATCTGTTCGCTGCTTCGGCCACACTGGATTGTTCGGATCCCTGTACATCGGGTCTTGGTGTTTGAATTAAGGGCCCTTACTCCTGTATGGGGCACCTGATAATCTGCTCGGGTATACTACGTCTTCCGGGGGCCCCTCCGTACTGGGTTTCGGGTACTTCTTTTTTAATGGAGGACCTTACGCTCTTGTCGGGTCCATTCGGATAAGCTGCTTGGGTACATTTCATCATTCTGGAGCCATTTACATAGGGTTTCCGTTGCTTCCCATTCGAATGGAGGGCCTTACGCTCTTGTTGGAAGCCCTATTTGTTAATCTGCTCAGGCACGCTCGATCATTCGGGAGCCCTCCACGTTGGGTCTTAGGTACTTCCTATTTGAATGGAGGGCCCTAAGCTCTTGATGAGGGCCCTATATGTAAACCTGCTTGGGGACACTCGATCGTTCAGAGCCCTGCACATTGTGCCGTGAAAACTTCTTAGTTGAATGGATGGCCTTACGTTCTTGGTGGGCCCCAACTATTAAGCTGCTCGGGCCGGCGCCAGATGCAGAGGGGGGGGGGGGGGGAGGCACGGAGCCATGCCCCGTGGACCATGCCGAGGAGACGTAGGATATCTTTGGGCCTACAGATGACCAAGAACAATTGTTAGCGAAAGTAAAAAGTTCATAAGCAGACGAAGCTCATTCTTCGCTGAATGAAAAAGTGAGGGAAAAGTGAATGTAAAAAGGGTGAAATAAACTACAGTTGACAGCTAAATACCATTCAAATAAAGTACGAACTCGATTACTAGCATGTTTATAGCTAGCCAGCTGGTCGATGTGATCAGCTCATGGTCGATGACTAATGCAGAGTTTTTGCTATGTTTGTTACGAAGGAGTTCAAGATATCTTAGAACTTTAAATGTGTCAAGAACGTAATGCTATATGATCGGTGTACCAAATTCAATAACCAACGGAAATGTCATATACGGGATCGGCGCATAACAAATGATGTTCGACAATTGCGCGCAAAAAAATTATAGGCGCAAATCTAGCTTCTGCTCTAAGGCTAAGGTACCAGGGCCAATAAGGACGAAACCGGAGAGTTCATGGTTGCCGCAGCGGGCCAACAAAGAGGCTCTGTCAACAAGTATGGGGTCCTCAGAGCAAGCGAGAAGAACCTAAGACAAATACGATGGGCCTCTTAACAATCGGAAGCGCCCCGGCAGGCTGACATACAGGGCCCCGGCCAGGGCACAGGACCCTTGCAGTAAAGGGGAATTACCCAAGACCAGTGTGCGTGAGTTGATGGCTATGTGCGATCAGGAGTGCCCGGCCAGGTTAACAGAAAGAGACCGATAGGACTGAAGGGTCCTCAGCAAACTAGATCAGAGGAAAAGAGCCCAAGATCAATAAAGAGGGCCCGCGCGCATCGAGTGGCTCGGTGCCTTACCTTACATGGACCCCAGCAACAACGCAAGGCCCTCCGGGAAAGTGGAAAGAAGCCGATATTAATATGAAGGGCACGCTGAGCAACTGAGAAATACCCCGGGATATGGGCCCCGACAAGAACGTATAGAGCCTTTCGGGCCAATGAGAAAAATCCGTGGAGGGCTACTGATCGACCAAGAGCGCCCCGGCATGTTAGCAGACAGTGCCCCAACAGCGCGTAGGGCCCTGCGATGAAGTGCAAAGAGATCAAGGGCAACGTGGAAGGCTTCTTAGCGATCGGATTAACCCCAAACAAGGAGACATATAAGGCCCCAGCAATCGGGAAAGGCCTCTAGACAGCGTAATGAATCTCAAAGTATCCCCCAGTCACCGCCCTCTCAATATGCGAATATTTAACTTTTTCTACCCACGGCCCATTCAGTATCGCTTGTGACTGTTTTGGTCAACCGGAGGCCCAAAAGCTTGTGACTGTTTTGGTCAACCGGAGGCCCAAAAGCGTCCAATGTTGGTGTTTTGTGTTAGAAAGCTGCGTCCGTTCGGCCGTTCATGGCCACTTCGGAGCCTTTGGGCCCCCTCGGGGCACAAAGGGGGTATGATTCCGTGCCCCTGCTCTGGATCCGCCACTGGCCCAAGCAGCTTGGCAGGTGGGATCCCGGCAAGAACATAAAGCTGTCCATTGAAATAAGAAGCACTCAAGACAAGTATGATATGAGGGAGGGCCCAGGAATGATCAATTGTGTCCGAGCAGGTTAACAGATGGGGGGCCGTGATAAAAACGTAGGGCCCTCACTTCAAGTAATCAACACCCACGACACAATGTGGAGGGCCCCAAACGATCGAGTCACACGAGAAGCTTAACAGATGGGGCTCCCGACAAGAGCGTGGCGCGCTCCATTCAGATAGGAAGTACCCAAGACCCGAGGTAGATGGTCCCCGAATGATCGAGCGCTTCAGAGCAGATTATGAGAAGGGGCCCGACAGAAACGTAGGGACCTCGATTCCAAAGAAGTACCCAAGACTCAATGTAGAGGGATCCTGAAAGATCGAATGTGTCCAAGCAGGCTGTCAGGTAGCCCCCGACAGGAGCGTAAGGTCTCAACATTCAGATACCAAGACCAATGTGCAGGGGCCCCGAACAGCCCAGCATGCCCGAGAAAGCGAACAGATGGGGTCCCGACAAGTGTGTAATGGGCCTCCATTCAAATACGAAATACACCGAACACGATGTAGAGGCCCCCGAATGATCGCGTGGGTCAGAGCAGGTTAACAGTTGGGGCCCCTGACGAGAGCGTAGGGCCTTCATTAAAAAAGGAAGTACCCAAAACTCAGTGTGGTGGGCCCCCCAAACGATCGAGTGTGGTTGAGCAGGTTATGAGATAGGGCCTCCGGCAAGAGCGTAGGGCCCTAAGCAAGTGACAGAGAGTTGGAAGGGCCCTAGAACAATGTGGAGGGCCTGAGAGCATATCGCGAGTGTGTCGGTGGGTTAACCGATGCCAACGTGTAGAGCTCCTAAGCAACCGAGAATACCCTGGCATATTGACATATGGGGTCCACGGCACTAGCGTATAGAGCATCTCGGGTGCATGGAAAGAATCCGTGGAAGGCCTCTGATTGATAAGGGTCCCTCGACATGCTAGCACGCTAGCAGGAAGGAGGCTAGCAACAGCGCGGAGCCCTCCGAAGAACTGCAAAGAAATCAGTGGCAACGTGGCAGGCTTTAAAACGATCGCATTGACCCTGCACACAGACATATAGGGGCCCTCGAAAAGGGCGTAGGGCCTCTGGACAGCGTCATGAGCCTTAAAGCCTCTCAATCACCACCATCACAATTAGTGAAGAATTGCATCTGTTCAGCCAGCTATGGCCCCTTTGGAGCCTTCAGGCCTCTTCGGAGCACAAGGGCGGCATGGCCTCGTGCCCCCCTTCCCCCCTCTGGATCCGCTCCTGCCTGGCATCATAGGCGGATCCTTGGGGGGGGGGCACGGGGCCTGGCCCCCCAAAACCTCTGAGAGTATGTTTTGGCCCCCCCCAAAAAAAACATTCCCAGAACTTCATAAAAGTTTCGTCTACTTACCGTCTGTTTTAACTTTAACTGTTTTAACTGCTTTGTTTTAACTTCTGTTTAAGATTCAAAAGCATTTCTGTGTTTTTTTTTCGGTTTTGAATGGTGTCCCTACTAGGTACTCGCGAGAGGCACCATGTACTGGACCTCGGATCTCACACTAGCCAGCTGGCAACGAACGTTTGGCCCCCCCCCCCAAAAAAAAAACAAACTCCAGGCTAGATCCGCCCGTGCCTAGCATGGGTACCGCACGAACGACGTGCCATAACATATTTAACTAACATATGCAGAAGACAACAAAAGATGTTGTGGAATACCTAAATTGTCTAGAGTACAAGCCTACAGTATGCTATACAATAAGACGTGCAGGCGTTATGATATATACAACAGAAATGTTGTATTTGATATAGCGCATAGTATGTACATAATGTACAATATGAAGTGCAAAGTATAGTGTAGTATACACTGCTCACTACCGTAAGAAACCTGTCGCAAAGTACTGCGCTAAATTACTAGGTACTTCACTGCGTGGTGGAACGGCAAATAACGACGCACTTTGCGTGTAACAATGCTCTAGCCTATATGCCGTGACGTTTTTGTGGGCAGATCCTGTTAAGATCCTTGAATCCTTGGTATGATTCAATTTTCCATCGGCTCACATTCTTCGAACTGGCCAATAGCTGCGGTTCCGAAGACTCTCCTCCAACGTGGAAAATCCTCCGAGCGGCGGTGCCTGGACGCTGTTTAGATTACGCGAACGTTTATTTATTCTGGCGCTGGGAGGCTTCATTCGATGGGAGTCTGAGAGACACTCCTACAGGAGCCCTCCGTCCTGCTGGGTGTGAGCTCAAACATCGCCAGCTTTTCGGGCACCTTCTCCACCAGCAAGACGCAGACTCGTTCTTCCATCGTTACGAGATCTCAGGTAGGCGACAAGATCCAACCTCGCACACAGCACCATCCAGACTTGGCTTGTGAATACCTTGTGACATTGGATGTGGGCGACCGTCAGCCATTCTTGGTGCCCTCCCCCCCCCCCCCCCCTGGCGGGGACAGTCGTGCGTGTGCGAATGGTACGGCTCCCATTGTCATTAGCATTGGTGAGACATTCCGTGTCATGAAGTCCAACGAGAAGCTTCGCCTTCTGTTGAAATTTCATGGTAGCACCCAGGCCTTAGGCACCTTCCCACCAGTCAAAAACAGGAACCCTGTTTTTTTAGGATAAACTGTGGTTCTTTTTGAATTAATTAATAATCTAGGATGATTGAAGTAATAAGCTGCCCGCCTGGGCGCCAGTCTTTAACTTATAGCTTATCAAATGAGTCGTTCGTCCATGACACTTGATTAATGATAAGCCTGTGACAGAGCGTTTTGTATTGTTGTATGGGTTTGACAGCCTCAGCAGCTTGCCCGTCGTCTTTGCAGTCCTTGTGCACGGCGACACGGACATGTCCATGCAGAGAAACGGTTGAAGTACTTTGAAGACTGAACACACAGGTTGAAACCTGTCATCCGCAAAGGGCTGCTGCCCTTTGCGGATGATTGCGGAAGGGAGTCTGGGAAAACCGGGAAAATCAAGTCGATGAGGCATCGTTGCAAATGCGCACTTTTTTATAAAGTTAAACAAAGACGCCACGACTATTCTGCAAGGCTCATTTTTTTGTGTGGCAGGTTTGCACCCAGACGGTGCCAAAGGCACGATTGTACGCAGAAAGACAGTGCAGCATACGTTTAAACCGAGTTTCATGCTTAAAGTGATAGTGCTCCAACGGTGAGCTTTTAGAGAGGAGCGAAAAGTAAACGGTAAAACCGGCTTAAAATTATCACACTTCATGGCTTAATGATCTAAGTTTGTTTCCAGAAAATGCTTATTTTTTGTCAGACCAGTGCAAGGGTCACACCTCCCCTTTTCGTTCCCTGGGCATCATGAACATACGATTAGAATATGAATGATATCGACGTCGAGGTGTTAATCTCACCCGTCCAATTTCAACAGTCCGGCGGCGTCCCATGGCTACTGGTATGCATGCCGGAGGTGTATCCGTTAAAGGTGAAGCCTTAAAACCATAACTGAAGGCAAAGGCCATGTTTCCTTCGAAAGAAAATAACCTATTTTTGTATTTGGGCATGCGTTTTTCTTGATGATTTTGATCAAAGACTGAGTGGACTGAAAAAACGTCAAAGTCCAAAGGCCCTTCAAAGCAATTGAACGCTCTCGTCAAAATATCTGTGTGTTCCCGAGGTCGTTCGATAACGTTGTCAGGTCTATCAACAATAGATGCCGTTTGAACATCTCAGCAACTGTCATGTTCCTCTACACAGCTTGCATGTAAGCTCTGAAGTTTACTTTCATTATCCGTCCAGAAGCCTGTCAGCAGTTTAACATATACGGGCTGATTATATTCCTGTTAATATGGCAGATGAACTGGTCGCCAAGTCGCAGACCGCATCTAGAGATGGAGCTACCTCATTTTGGGACTTCCGCCAGGGAGGAGAAAAAGTAGAGGAGAGGCTGGATGCGTCCCCAACTCTTCTAGAATACATTATTTCGCACAAAAGCAAACCAAATCCTAGTAAAGCGAACAGAACAGTGCCTTGGGTGGTTCGCTAACAGCGCCCGCCTCTCCAAGAAGAATGGCGCGCTGTAAACTGTGTTTGTTCGCCTCGACTCAGCAACAATTTGATAGCTTCCACAGTCCATTCCAAAGCTACGAAAGGATTAGATCGGAAACTGCAGTCCACGTCAAGACTCTCCTCAAGCACAGCGCAGAGCGCTGGCAGTGTTGCCTGGCGGCAACCAGTCTTAATCACAGTGTGAGCACAACTTATGACAGCTGCGAAATCACACATTTGCACCAGAACTACCTCGGGGCAAGGCGCCCCGAGCTGTGAATTGCACCAGCATGCATCATTTCGGTTTTTGAGCAAACGTGATCAGAGCAGCACGAGCCACGGGCAGGCCACGGAACCCAGTTTTGTCAGTATCAATCACGGTTGCTGCCCTGCACTGTCCGACATTATTTGCCGACACATCCATCACCAATCAAGCGAAGACCGTGACGGTGCGTGATGGTTAACGCAGGAATTAGATGGATTTACCGCCGCGCAAGTCTACATCCTCTTGCCTTCTGGTACCCGCGAAGTTTCATCCATGTCTGTGTTGCGTTTGGGTTTACTGCTGTGCGCTGTCGCGCATGCCCGCCTGCTCTGTTGTCTTGTATTTGGGCGTATTGTTGCGCGGTGACGCTCATGCGTGCTTGCTGAGTCGTGCGTGCGGACCTTAACTATTCTTCTGTCATGAAACTCTTAAGAGCAAAATGTGATAAAAATCAGCACAATGCCGAATGGGTTTTTCGGTTCGTTATGTAACAGTTTCCACCATTCCAAGGATGCTACACACACGATGTATGACCACGTGGCGAATGTCATTTGCAGTAATTTTCATGCATCATTTATGTACTGCCATTGATAAGTTCAACAAAATGCAAATGTGGTAAAAGAAACTTCAAACATGTAAATTCGTGCGCCGAAATTGGACGACGTTTTGGTCGGTTTTCACCTTTTTCATTTTTCACTGTTTGCCCCCCCCCCCAACTAATTTTGCCAAATTTAGACCCTGATTGAAACTGCTCTTACCAAAAAATTATAAGTGATCTTAACATCAGAAGTTACCTTGCGATTTGGCCTATATTTGCCGTCATCCGTGATCTCAAGGTAACCACATTATGTATGTTTAGGTCGTCCGCGAAATTCAACGCTATCACTTTCATACGGATTCACGAAGTGGTCAGTGGTTCAAGAGAGAGACAAAGGAAAAAATGGCTGGTAAAATCTCATGAGTAGATTAATGCGTGGTCCCAGCTGAAAGTTCACGTCTTAAGAAGATTAAGTAAAAGATTAAGTCCCAAGTTAAGTCTTGGCCTGTATTCATCATTTATTTCCATAAACAAGAGCGCAGCGGTGTCTGGTCTGCAGCCACTCCGCAGCACCCCACCAGCATACACAAGCGATAACCGCCCATCCAACCCAGAGCGCCCCATCCCTCTCTCACCACGTGGCCCGACCACACCCAACTGGCAGCTCCAGCCCCGCCACCAACTCTGCCACCCGTTCCAGACCACGCCATGGCGAGCGGATGGGCGGCGCTGGCCGTGCTCGCCGTGCTCGGCGTGCCCACCGTGCTGAGCTCCGGCTACGGCTCCAACACGCCGTGCTTCGACGCGAAGCGGCAGCAGCAGGGCCTCTCGCCGGAGCCGGGCCAGCCGCAGCACGAGTGCGACCGGAGCGGGGCGTTCGCGCCGCAGCAGTGTCGCGGCTCGCAGTGCTTCTGCGTAGACCGTAACGGCCGGCAGCTGGAGGAGTACGCCGCCGTCGGCCGCCACCAGGCACACCAGATCTCCTGCGGTGCGTGTCCCGGTCGCCGGTCACCAGTCACGCGGTCACATGGTCACATGGTCATCCGGTCACTCGGTCACCGGTCACACGCCACGGACCACACGGTCACAGAGTCATACGGTCACCCGGTCAACTGGCTATCGGTCAACGGTCACCGATCACCCGGCCGCATGGCCACCAGTCAACAGTCACCAGTCACCAGTCGCCAGTCGCCAGTCACCAGTCATCCGGTCACCAGTCACCCGGTCACAAGATCACGTGGTCACCGGTTACACGATCATCGGTTACAAGGCCACGGGTCACTTGGTTACTGGCCACATGGTCACACGGTCACTAATCATACGGTCATCGGTTACCGGTCACCCGGTCACTGGTCACACGGGTCACCGGTTACCAGAAACATGGTTTGCTGGTCATACCAGTCACTGATAACAATGTGTGTGCATAGCGGTTTGGGACCGCATTTCACCGGAGGGTCCCAGCGCCTGCCTTTCGTTTTCCTGGAGCACGTCCCCTCAGACATAATATGACGAATGCATAATATTCAACCAGACATGACACGACAAACGCATTTTACGACATCTGAAAGCTTATGTCCAGTCTAACAACGAATCTATATTTGCGTCTTGATTCAATGCAACCTAAGAGGCACACCGGCACTAAAACGCATGTTTTATTTTGATGTTAACTTCCTATGAAGAAGATTTCTTCTGTTGAAAAAGAGAAAAACGAAAATAAAAAAATAGGTCAGATGTTTTATTTGGAGCTCACTGTAAATGGCACTGGTGCAATCCAAGTAAAAATGACGTCTGATATCTGCCATGGATATGCATAATATGAACTCAGTGATCTTTCCCCGTACCAGTTAATTCTTAAATCAAATACCATATGAAACAAAGTGAAGCACACGAATCAACAAACAAACAAATTGAGCTCTTTGCCAAAGGTACATGTCAAGGCGGCCATGAGACTGCATCTCCCTCCAAAACAGTTTAGTTTTTTAGGGAGATGCAGTTTAGTTAACGGAAGCAGTCCATGGCCAATAAATGCTATGCATATTACACAACTCAAACATCCTGACGCAGAAACAAGAACTTGTCTAGCCAATCACTGCCTTCTCTCAACGCAGCGGAGAACAGCAGGGCAAACAGTGACGCCATCCCAGCCGCACCACTTCTTGTCTTCCCTACGCGTCAATCGCCAACAATTCCGAGAACGGGAGTCAGAAATACGGGAACTGTAACGAGTTGCTCCCTAGTGCGCTCATTGGCAGCTGCCAGTTTCGCGGCGCTTTGCTCTCGTCACTTCGGTCAGTAAGTGAAGTTGCAGTGTAAATAATCTCAACAACTGCTTACGCCACCATGCAACTTGATCTGAAACAATTCATCGACGTTTTTTGGCTGGAGCTGGCGCTGTGTTTGTCAGCGTGTTCATGTGTCTCGTCAGTATGGGAGCCTCTGTAATCAATGACGTGTAGTGGCGTCTGTTAAAGCGATCGCCAGTTGCTGAAGCACCGCTGGGTCAGATCTTCAGCCGTGTTTATTTCTACTCTGAACGTGTTTACGTTCGGAATGGCACCATTGTGGCGCAGGCTGGGGATACCGGGCCTGGTGAGGCAAGGAGACACGCAGAGACACGGACTGGCCAGATCCTTGAGTTCGCCTGACAGTGTTAAGTGCGGGGAGGAGTCCCTGGATGGTGTATGACACTTCTCTGATCAGCCCGTGTCTCTGAAAGCTTCCCTGTCCTGCCAAGCCCGCCATCCAAAGCCTCTGCATTCATGCCTCTCTCCGTCTGATGGACTCCTCTCATTGTCTCCGCGCAACCGCACCGCCTGATGACCCCACCCCTCCCCAGCCTACCTTCTCATAAGTTTACCGTGGTGCCAACACTCCCGCTGCCGGGGCCGTGCCTCCGCGTATCCGCCTCATCTTACTCCTGGTGTTTTTCCTGCGGTGTCAACACTCCCGCTGCCGGGGCCGTGCCTCCGCGTATCCGTCCCATCTTACTCCTGGTGTCTTTCCCGTGGTGCCAACACTCCCGCTGCTCGGGCCGTGTCTCCGTGTATCCGCCCCATCTTACTCCTGGTGTCTTTCCCGTGGTGCCAACACTCCCGCTGCCCGGGCCGTGTCTCCGCGTATCCGCCCCATCTTACTCCAGGTGTCTCTGCGTGTCCGCGCCATCTGACTCCTCCTCCCTGTGCCTCCGCGTCTCCGCCCCACCTAACTCCTCCCCGTATCTCCCGTGTCCGTCCCGTCTTACCCCTCCTCCCATGTCTCCGCATGGCCGCGCCGTCTTACTTCTCCTCCCGTATCCCCGCGTGTTCGCCCTGACTAACTCCTCCCCGCGTCTCCCGCGTCTGACACCTCCTACCCGCGTCCCTGCGCGTCCTCGCCTTCTGACTCCCCCTCCCCATGTCCCCACGTGTCCGCGTCGCCTGACGTCCGCGTCTCGGCAGCCTGCGCGCGCCAGCGGTCGGAGCGGGCCGGCCGGCTGGGCGGCGAGGCCGTCACTTGCGACGCGCAGGGCAACTTCAGCCCGCGCCAGTGCGTCGGCTCGTCGTGCTACTGCGTCAACGTGCGCACGGGTTCTCGGCTGGCGCGCAGCCGGGATGTGCACGTGAGCCAGGCGGCCTCGCTCGACTGCAACACCGCGACCGGCGGCGAGCCGTACCGGGCCACCGACGACCGGCAGGTACGGCCCGGAAGGGTAGCCTCACTGGCTGAGGAGCCCGCCGACCCCTGCTCACCGCTGATGACTGTCTGCGCGTTAATTACATTATTAAATGCAATTAACGTATTTAAAGTTTAATTACATTATTAAATTAAAACACCGAGCATTCGACCACTTCTACTTGCCGCTGGCCGTTCGCTTAAGCTGCGCTTGTCATCTCTGATAGTAAAACCGAACCATCGCTGACCTGGCATGACCACCGCCAGTCAACGCGGACAGGGCATCTGACCGTTACTGACCACCACTGACCGTTCGTCCAGCCATCGCCGACCGGACACATGTGCTCTGCTGACTGTTCGGTGGCCGGCCTCGGAACGCAGCTGCTTGTTTTCTGTCATTAGTTAACCAGCGGTAAACTACACCCTGCCACTACAACTGCTTAAACTTGCCTCAGCTCTGCTACTGTTTGGCCTCCACTACCACCGACCGTTTCCCCAACCGTTGCCGATCGCTCATCCGACCACCACCGTCTGACCCGTTTTGACCGCTGCTGACCCGGCCAGCAGGCGGCGCTGGGCGGCGACACGCCCTGCTGGGACGAGCTGCAGCGCCACGAGGCGTCCAGCTCGGGTCTGCTCGGCGCCGAGCCGCCCGCCTGCGACCGCATGGGGCGCTTCCACCCGAAGCAGTGCCGCGGCTCCGAGTGTTACTGCGTCACGCCGGCAGGCCGCCGGCTCCAGGCGTACCGGGCGGCGCCGCGCGCCAGGCAGATCTTCTGCGGTGAGGCTGCGCTCGGGCCGGCAGCCAGCTGTGGAGGGCGTGCTGGCGGGGCCGGCCGAGACGGGGCGGGAGGAAGCGGGTAGGATGCCGCCGGTCGGCGCTGATGAGAGCGCGGCGTGACTGGAGTCAGCGCCTTGCCCGCCGTGCGTTTGATCTCGCTGTGGATTGCAATAACTGAGACGTCACGATAGTTTTATCCAATCGGCGACGCCGCGCCGCTAGAGCGGCCCGTTTGGGGCGGGTGGCCAGACGCCTCAGCGGTGGGCGTTGTGTGTGGCAGGCTGCGCCCGGCGACTGCACGAGATCACCGAGGGCGGGCTCGTCGGCGTCACCCTCAACTGCGACCAGCACGGCGACTACGAGCTGAAGCAGTGCACGGGCTCCGTGTGCCACTGCGCCGACCCCGTCACCGGCGAGAAACGCCACGGCAGCCGCCAGGTGGCCATCCACCAGCTGGATACGCTCAGTTGCGACCGCAGCCAACAGGTGCGCCCGGTCGCCTGCCCCCGCGCGGGGTTGGCGGGTGAGCGCGGGCGAGCGTGGCCGTCTGGGATGGGTCGGAGCGTTGCTATGGTGCTGGACTGCGTTGGCTGTGCTGACGACCCCACCTGCTTCGCCGAGCGCTTCTCGAAGCCTAACGGCAACCGCAGCCGTCTTCTCATTTCGATGACACCGAAATAGTATGAAGGGAGTTGCTGTTACTTGTTGGGAAGGGTTTCCAGATTGAATGCTTTACGATGCTCTTAGTGGCCAGTTCATAACCACGAACTGCCTTCGAACTGGTACTGTGAGGGGGAAACAAACCATCGCCTGTATTTTGCGCATGCTATCAGCGGCGACAGGCAGCAGTACGCGTGGAAACCTCACCGAGGCGAGGGTCAAATATCACCAAAATCATTTGCCATTGTAAATACAAAATCGACTTTTCGTATAATTGGAAATGTCAGAATTTTCATGCTCACTTTTCTCACGCCTTCAAAAGCACCTATTTCTGATATGTTGAGTGTAGGGCAGCGGTGACAGCCGAACCTCTGAGGTAACGGGACATGGGGAAACTTGTTCCTTTCCATGCTCCGTCATAGAGAAAACGTTGAATTGTGCAAAGCATTGCGAGGCAGCCGCCTGATCCGCCGCCCGTGTAAGACGGATTCGTGCACTAGTGACTGACACGACTCTGACTGGCACCGGTGATCCGCCGCCCGTGTAAGACGGATTCGTGCACTAGTGACTGACACGACTCTGACTGGCACCGGTGATTCGCCGCCCGTGTAAGACTGGTGTGTGCACTGGTGACTGTGACGCGCCGCTGACCGGCGCCGGTGATCCGCAGACCGACCGGCCGCTGCTGGGCGGCCAGACGCCCTGCTGGGACGCGCTGAAGCGGCACATGGTGCGGCAGACGCCGCTGCTCGGCGCTCACAAGCCGCAGTGCGACAGGGCCGGCAAATACCACCCCAAACAGTGCAAGGTAACGGCGCCAGGACAGGCGGTGGTCCGGCGTCTGTACAACGGACAGTCGCCCTTGAAGCGGAATACACTGCGCCGTATTGTGTTGCTTGGAAACCGCCGCAACCAAACTCATCGCATCGCATGCTGTGCCATATTGCTTTCACTGGTTTGTCACTTGCAATACAAGTGCCCCCCGTGCACCACGCCTTCACAATGCGACAACACAACTTAAAGCCACAGATGTTCAACGCAATGTCACAGGCTGCGTAAGAAATAGACCAACGTAGCATTGCAAAGTGATGAATTCATCTTTTCAAACAAAATCAGCAGCTCCGCCCGAGACCTGACCAGACGTGCCGAGAGATGCGCTCGCTCCGTCGCCGCCTGCCGGCGTCCTGGCGCCACATCCTCTTGCTCTTGACCATCACCGTTGCGACCGCCGCGCCTCTGCCGGCCCCCTTCCCCTGCCTCGCCCCTCACGGCCCGCACTGCCGTCTCCGGCAGGGGTCCGAGTGCACGTGCGTGGACCCGTACGGCGTCTCGCTCGGCAGCTATCGGCAGCCGCGCGGCCGCAGCGTCGACATGGGCTGCCTGTGCGCGCGCCGCGAGTGGGAGCTGCACCGCGACGGCCTGCTGGGGCTCAGCGTCAACTGCGACGAGCGCGGCAACTTCGCGGCGCACCAGTGCGTGGGCTCCGTGTGCCACTGCGTGCTGCCGGTGACCGGCGAGCAGATCCCCGCCTCGGAGACGCACATCGGCCAGCTGGCCGGGCTCGACTGCGCCGCGCACCGCCGCCGCCTGCTGGGCGGTGAGCGGCCCTGCGACGACCGCCGCCGGCAGATGCGCGGCCGGCTCGGCGGCCGGCCTCAGCCGCCCGGCTACCAGGAGCCCGAGTGCGACCGCGACGGGAAGTTCGCCGCGCTCCAGTGCACCGGCTCGCTCTGCTACTGCGTCAGCCCGAACGGCGAGCGCCTGGAGGGCTACGACCAGCCAATTCAGAACCGCCAGCAGATGTCCTGCCGTGAGTGAGGGTCCGCCGCCGCACCGGGCGCGGCTTAAAGACGTGCTCAAAATCCGGGCCGATGCAAGATTGTTGACGCCTGGTCGCTGAGCACGCGCAATGAGATGAGACTTCCGCATTCTTGCCGATCTCACAATCAAACTGATGGCTTTGATCGTTAACAGAACTGATAGTCGATAGTTAGTTCTGAGCTAGTAGGGTGGTCAGGTGTCGGGGTCACCGGGGTAGCACCGATGGCTGGCTCCAGGGATCCCATCACTCAAGCAGCTCGGTCGTGGGCCTCATCCCCTCGTACGCGAATCCCGTGCATCTCCATCGCTCGCAGCCGGGCGCGGCTGACGGTCGCGCCGTGCCGCCAGGGTGCGCCCGCCGCGCGTGGGAGCTGTCCCAGGACGGCCTGGGCCGCCATGTCACCTGCGACCGCTTCGGGGGCTTCCACACAAGCCAGTGCGAGGGCAGCACCTGCTACTGCGTCGACCCGGCCACTGGCGCACCGAGCGGCGGCGCGACGGTGCACGTGGGCGAGCTAGCCAGCCTGGCGTGCGGCGGCGGCCCTGCTGGCCAGCCGCTGCTCGGCGGCCAGCAGCCCTGCTGGGACGCGCGCCGGCGCGCCGAGCGCCGCCTCCGGGAAGCCCAGCATCCCATCGCTGGTCTGGAGATGCCCGAATGCGACAGGTCGGGTCGCCACCAGCCCAAGCAGTGCTCCGGCTCGCAGTGCTACTGCGTGGACCCCGCAGGCCGCAGGCTCGAGGCCTACTCGGTCGACAGGTGGCGCGCCGATGCCATGACATGCGGTGAGTTCTTCACGCCGCCGGCCTGAACCCGCCACAGCAGAGTCGGGCGCATACGCCCCACGCTCGATGGGCGGCTCGTCTGGCGCGCCTGTCACCCGCACGCGGTGATTATGTCCGTTCACACCGCGCTCCGCGCTTCCCCTCGTAGTCACTCGTAGTTTTGGGTCCAGCGCAGCCGAATCATGACGTCATAACGCAGCTCTCGACCTGACGTGATCACACGAACGTCTCCAGCTAACGGCGAGCTCTGCCGACAGTATGCGCCCGGCGGCGGCACGAGGTCAGCTCGCTGAGTCTGATCGGCATCTCGGCCAGCTGCGACGAGCTCGGCAACTTCGAGCGTCGCCAGTGTCTCGGCTCGCAGTGCTACTGCGTCAATCCGCAGACCGGCGCCCCGGTGGACGCGTCCACCGTCCACATCTCGCAGTCGGACAGCCTCAACTGCCTGGAGCGGACAGGACTCGTCGTCAGCGCCGGCGGCTCTGGCTCGGGACTGCTCGGCTCTAGTGGCGGCTCTGGCTCCGGTCACTCCGGCCGTCCCGGCCAGTCGGGTGGCTCTGGCTCTGGCCAATCTGGCCGCCCAGGCCAGTCGGGCGGCTCCGGCTCTGGTCACTCCGGCCGTCCCGGTCAGTCGGGCGGCTCCGGCTCTGGTCACTCCGGCCGTCCGGGCCAGTCGGGCGGCTCCGGCTCTGGTCACTCCGGCCGTCCGGGCCAGTCGGGCGGCTCTGGCTCTGGTCACTCCGGCCGTCCGGGCCAGTCGGGCGGCTCTGGCTCTGGTCACTCCGGCCGTCCGGGCCAGTCGGGCGGCTCTGGCTCTGGTCACTCCGGCCGTCCGGGCCAGTCGGGCGGCTCTGGCTCTGGTCACTCCGGCCGTCCGGGCCAGTCGGGCGGCTCCGGCTCTGGCCACTCCGGTCGTCCGGGCTTCGGTTTGCTCGGGGCTTCCTCCGGAAGCGGCCCGGTGCTTCTGGGTGGCAACACGCCCTGCTGGAACGAGCGCACGCGCCTGATGCAGCACATGGACACGGGCGGCGCCCAGCTGTCTGGTTTAAGCCTGCCCGACTGCGACCGTTCCGGCAGATACCGGCCCAAACAGTGCAAGGTACGCAGTGACGTGAGAAGGGGAAGGGGAGGGGTGGTCACGCGGGGAGAGTACGTACGGCGTGAGATACATCATGTTGTGAAAGGTTCGAGGTGTGACGGGTCGCGCACCTCCAGCTGCGGGCAGCACGAGATGCAAAGCAGGAAGGCTTTGAGGCTTGAAAACGTCAAGCAGAAGCGCCTTTAACTTTCAGTAATTTACGCGCAAACACTGACAGTGTCACTCCATGTGCTTGTGACGCTGCCCACCAGGGGTCGAAGTGCAACTGCGTGGATCCGGAGGGCAACACCGTCGAGGGATACGAGAGGAATCTGTGGGACGCCCAGGACATGCACTGTGGTGAGTGGACTCGGCGGCCAGAGCCGAGCACATCGGCAAGGTTAGCACTGTGGCTAACGAGACGAACTAGTAGGTCGAACCAGGTCTCAGGGAAAGCGAGCATATTGTATTCTATCATATCATGAAATGCAAGCCGTTGCGGTCAGTACAACGTGACCAGCTTATCGCGGGCAAGGCAGCATATCAAACTCTTCTTGGCACCGAAACATTTTAGCCAGTTTTTTTCTTGAGATCCATTGAGAAGGCAGCTATCGCAATAATCACGTCGTTTCCGAGAGTTGCAGAAAAGATTATGCGCAACGGGCTCGAATTGCAACACGGACCTTCCTACCATTTGCCTTCACGGCACAAACCACCGTGCAGCGTCACGCAGGGAGCTCAGGGATGCTGCTTGACAGGTTGTGTCCGCCTGAAGTACGAGGTGAACCTCAGCGGCCAGGCTGGCACCCGAGTCACCTGCAACGAGCTGGGAAACTTCCACAGTCACCAGTGCACCGGCTCCGTCTGCTACTGCGTGGACCACCTGACCGGCGAGAGGAAGCCAGGCGCCGAGGTAGGCACTGTAGACCAGAGACGGACTGAGGCCAGTGCTGTGGACCAAAGACGGACTGAGGCCAGTGCTGTGGACCAGAGACGGACTGAGGCCAGTGCTGTGGACCAGAGACGGACTGGGGCCAGTGCTGTGGACCAGAGACGGACTGAGGCCAGTGCTGTGGACCAGAGACGGACTGAGGCCAGTGCTGTAGACCAGAGACGGGCTGAGGCCAGTGCTGCGGACCTGAGACGGACTGAGGCCAGTGCTGTGGACCAGAGACGGACTGAGGCCAGTGCTGTGGACCAGAGACGGACTGAGGCGAGTGCTGTGGACCGGAGACGGACTGAGGCCAGTGCTGTGGACCAGAGACGGACTGACGCCAGTGCTGTGGACCAGAGACGGACTGAGTCCAGTGCTGTGGACCAGAGACGGACTAAATCTAGTGTTGTGGAACAGAGACGGACTGAAACTGGTGTTGCGGACCAGAGTAGGACTGAAACCAGTGTTGCGGACCAGGACGGACTGGAACCAGTGCTGTAGACCAGAAACAGGCTGAAACCAGTACCTGCTGTGAGTCATGCAGACGGACTGATGCCAGTGATGTGGACCAGAGACGGAGTGGGGCCCGCATTGTGGGCTAAAGGCTGACTTATGTCATTGGTACTGACCGTAGCCGGCCCATTGCCAGAAGTGACAATGCAGACCATCTGGCTATCATATGTTAGCGGCCTGATGTAGTGACAAGGAGTGGCGACGTAGACCTCAGATCAGTGTTCGGCCTCCTTGCGTGTGGTAGCCTGTTGTGGCCCGGTATCCCATATCTCAAAGATACATTTAATCGGTGACGACTATAATCACAACGCCGATGCATGATATTTCTTGCCATTTGCTGACTGTTGACGCCTGTTCAACTGCTGGCGCAGTTCCTAAGAAAGACTTCCATCGCCCTCTTTTCTCTCCATGCCACGCCATCGCATGCTCGGCCGCGTCACCACGTGACAAATCACGTTCGGCGACGTGACACGTCACCCCGCGGCACGATCACCGCCGGTGTGACCAGGCCGCGTGACTGGCGCCCGCAGGACGTACACGTGTCGGAGTCGGAGCGGCTGGAGCAGCTGTGCGCCCCGCTCGGCGCTAACCACAGGTGCTGGGACGAGGCCCAGCGGCGCGAAGCCAGCGGACTGGTCGGAGCCGCCGCCCCCGCCTGTGACATCTATGGGCAGTACTCCCCTAAACAGTGTCAGGTGGGTGCGATGCCGACAGGGAGCGGCCGCCGCGGAGCCTCGGCGCCGCGGCTTTGGCGTGTGTGAGCGGCGGAAACGCTGCCGAACTCGACCCAATCGCATTGCGGCTACGGAACATTATATTGGAGTCACGCCCCGCTGAGACGGCTTGGAGGCGGACATTGGAGACGCCATCCATCAACCCCATCAACTCTGCAGGCCCGAATAACGTTCCAAACAGCTGTCTCTCTCCAGAGTTGACCGATTCACGTGACTGTATGGCGGTAGCTGGCGAGTTTGATCTAGACGCAACGCGATGGGACGAAATGGATGGAAATTAACTTCGACACATCCTTCGCCGAAGCACGCAATTCCCTGAACTCAACATCACATTTGAGCGCACTCCCCACCAGCGGTCTCAAAGCACTCACGGCACAACCGGAGCACACACCAACGTCGCGCTGTTCACCTCCAGGGCAGCCAGTGTCTCTGCGTGGATCCGAACAACAAACCGTTGGAGGGGTACACGGCGCACGTGACCAGCGCGACGCAGATGCACTGCAACTGCGCTCGCCGCGAGTGGGAGCTGCGCCGCCAGCGTCTGCTGGGACGGTCGGTGCGCTGCGACAGACTTGGAAACTACCAGCCGCAGCAGTGCACCGGATCAGACTGCTACGAGGTTCGTGCGGTAGCTGATGATGGTGCCAATGCAGAGGCGAGATTCGCCGATGGATCTATGACATGGAGGGGGCGAGGGCGGAGGATGACAGGAGGGATGATGGAGCGGAATGATGGAGGAATGGAGGAATGATGGGACGAAAATATTGAGAAGACCCTGGGATTGGACTGACGATTCAGGTCTCAGACACGCAGATGCTCGCTGTTCAGACGCCTCCACCTCGCGGACAGCCCCGGCAGCACTCAGGCGTCGGGTGGGCCTGTGGGCCGGCCTGACCTCTCGCGCCGCGCCGTCAGGTGGACACGGTGACGGGGTCGCGGCTAGCGGCCGGCCGCTCCGAGCCCCTGCTGGGCGCCGACCGGCCCTGCGACGACGCCTTCCGCCGGCTGGCCGGCACCGGCCGCCAGCCCAAGTGTGACCGGAACGGCCGGTACGCGGCACGCCAGTGCCACGGCGGGGCCTGCTTCTGCGCCGCTCCCGATGGCAGCCAGCTGGAGCAGTACCAGTCGCGCGCCGAGGACGGCGCCACCTGCCGTGAGTGCGGCGTCGGGGCAGCGGCGGCGGCGGCGGCGGTGGTGGTGGCGGCGCTGATGGTAGGGGAGGGCGGTGGGGTTGTGACGCTGTTTGCCGCAGGCGGGTTGTCTGGTCGCAGTCTTTGTTAGAGAAGCGCACATCGTGGGATGTCCGCCGCGGGTAAATAAGCGTACATTGAAGATCATGTGGTAAGCTCAGGATAGCTGGTGAGATTCAATTACCAAATTCTCTTTCATTCGGGTGTAGTACCTTGTGCATCTCATGCAATGGATGGACCAGGTGGAGATATAATTTTATCGAGAAAAAATTTGCAATGATGATACACGATTGGAAATTGACGAACTGTCAACCTTCAGAGCCTATTTTCATCTGTGGTTACCTTATTTACCCCGCGGACTAGGAAGCCCAACACACGTAATACGACCGCACGCGCGAGCATCGCTCTCATGCAGCTGGCTGCTATGAAAGTGTCTGTCCCTCAGGTTGCGTCAGCCTGTGTGCTCTTCAGCCGCGGACATTGGATATTCAGCGGTTCGTGTGATAACGCTTCAAAATGTTGACCACTGTTTAAGCAACAATGAACCACGATATTGCTTATTGTTATCTATAAGCCCGCACTCGTGAACTGTCGTGCTCGAGGTCAACCCCCAAGCATAGCTAATGTAGATGACGACAGAGGTTCATCACAACGGCGCTGTAATGGTGCTGGCACTGTTCGTCCCCGCAGCACGCCGCGACCCAAAGCCTGGCTGACCGTGCCGCCTGCTCCGACAGACTGCGCGCGGCGCGAGTTCGAGGTGCAGCGAAGCCACACGCGCGGCCTGACGGTCCGCTGCGACGCCCGCGGCGACTACGAGCTGCGCCAGTGCCTCGGCAGCCAGTGTCACTGCGTGGAGGCGGCCACCGGCCAGCGGCGGCACGACGTCGCCCCGCGCCACGTGGCGGAGCTGGCGCAGCTCGACTGCCGCGCCCCTGGCGGCGCCGGCGGCGCCGGCGGCTACTAGCGACCCGGCCGAGGCGGGCGGACGGTCGGGCGGCTGCACGAGAACCTTCAGAGACGGAGTCGGGGAGGACTCGGGAGAGGCTTCGGGAGTAGATCCAGGACGCTCTTCAGAAGCGGCTTCAGGACCCTGCAGGGAAGGCTTCGCGTGATCAGCTTCAGGGACGGCTTCAGGAGACGCGTCAGCAGCAACTTTCACGGTGGCTTCCCATGACTTGAAGAAAGGCTTCCAGAGGCTTCTGCAACGCTAGAGAAGCCTTCAGAAGCGTCAGCAGCGGCTTCTGAACAGGCTTCGGAGGCCGCTTCAGGCCACACCCCGGTATTGTAGCGCCGTGGACCATGCAGGACTTAAAAGCCGGGGTCTGATATCGTCAGTGGCTGCCACGATTCCCGCCGTAGTGTCGACAGCCTATTAACAGAGTAGTTCCCGTGACCTGCTGTGTATTGCTGAGGTTCAGGCCCAGCCCAGTGTCATGCGAAATACAAAGAGATCACAAGCCCGACCATGTGACTGGCGGGAATACGAAAAACAACAACGTTGTAAAAAGTTGCGGCAGTAAAAACGGGTGGCAAATTCACATCCCCACTCGTAGGTTTAAATAAAAGTCAGCGGACACGCCGATACATACAGCGTCCACCTCAACGTCTAAAACGGCTAAAAAGTAAAGAACCTGATGCACAACACAGCAACTAAGATCGTGTTGGACAGACGTGAGCCCGTCACAACGGCAGCTCACAATCACGCAGCCCGACTGGGCCCGGCGGGGCCCGTTGTACTGTGACGAAGCGGTGCGGCGCAGCGCGGTTCAGAACAGGGCGGCGCTGCTCAGGGGCTGCGCGGGAGGCGGCCGCCGTTCGTGTCGGCCGGTGGGGCCGCTCCTGGCGGCGCGCCGGGCGCGTCCGACGCTGGCCATGCGCTGCCCTGCAGCTGGAGCAGCAGTTGCTGATACTGCGCGCGCGCCATGTCCAGCTGCTGCGGCGGCATCAGATGGACGGGCGGCGCGACCACCGGCGGCTGCAGCAGCAGCTGGCCGCGCAGCTGCGCCAGCACTGGGTGCGGCTGCGCCCAGGGCTGCTGCAGCTGCGCCAGCAGCGCGCGCGCCGGGTCGGGCGGCGCGAAGCCCGGCGGCGGTCCAGGCAGCGGTCCAGGCGGCGGTCCGGCCGGCGGTCCAGGCGGCGGTCCGGGCAGCGGTCCAGGCGGCGGTCCGGCCGGCGGCCCTGCTGGCGGTCCGGGCGGCGGCGGCCGCGCCTGCAGCCGCTCCAGACTCTCGGCTCGGTGGGTGCCGGGTACGCGGCGCCGACCCGGCCCCGGCCCCGACCCCGGCTCGGCCGCGCGCGAGCCCAGCATCGCCAGCAGCTGCGCGGCGCCGTCCACCGGCGGTCCGGCGCTCTCCGCCACCGCTCTCGGCCGCGCCGCCTCGTCCACCACGCGTCCCGCAGGCGGCGGGCCGCCGGCGGGGCCGCCAGGGGGCGCCGCGCCGCCGGCAGCGACTCGCCGACGCGGGGTGCCCTCGGCCGCGGCGGGCGCCGCCGCCGGCCACGGCTGCCGGTGTGGAGAGTCGGTCGGTGGTTCCGAGTCGTACCGCTCGCGGCGCTGGTGTCGGGTCTCGTCTGGAACAAGAGACAAGATGACACTGCCGAACTTCGCACCCGAAATCACCAGCAGGCGCGTCGTGTTGTTGAGTTGAGCACGGTTCGGACAGAACGACACAGCAGAAGCAACGTTGACGTTTGTCTCATCGAAACCAAAGTACATGTTCAAGGTGGGCTATAGTTACATTATCGACCCGATACGCACACGACTGAGCGTCTCCTAGAAAATACTGTCAGCAGTTTGGTCCAGCGCCCTCGCCTGAGTCATGCGCCCAGCTACATCAGTTTACAACGGACATAGTGGACGGGATTTCATAACCACGCATGCCACCATGACGCCATATCTGACTGCTTTTAGTCATGCCGCGTCGGAGACGTAAACGTTAACAGTTAGATTCCCAGGTGATCAAATACCATTACCACATTGTTAAACTTTCAGCCTGTACTGCCACTTCACCGTTGACGAAATCCACAACTCCAGTTGACCAAAACTCGTGATCGTTTTACCACCGTGAAACGTTTAAGCGAGTCTCCGACAGCAACAATGCATGACAGATGCTGCATGGTTCATAAAACAACCAACGAATGATTTTTAATCAGGGGAGATGAGCATGCTTTCTTCGAAGGGTCTTAATGGAAGGTTCGGGTAACTAGTTCAAGGGCTCAGGGAATTACTTCAAATGCTCGGAGAAAAGTAAGGAAAAGAGGCAGATGGAGGTACAAATATACCGACAGCGCGCATGCTTATAGTTCCGCTTCATGGAACTGTATGACCGTGAAATGTTGGTACAACAATCTTGTATTCACCCATATTGTCAAAATCTGTGCATGTTCATACCTATAAGCCATATGGTATTCTATCAAGGTCCTAAAACGCTACGCCAGGAGAGGGAAAAAGACTATACCAAACTGGCCGGCACTTAAATTCGCAGCGAGTTCGTCACGGCTCCACGGCTCGAGCAGCCTGATACAATTTGCTACTATATATGAACAGCCCTGCATTTGCCACGCGAATGTGTTTTGCGATTGGCACTTTCTCGTGGTCATCATGACGATTCAGAGTTTGTAGCTCGCTCGCTGCTCGTTGTTCATAACTTCTGCCAATAACGTTACGCTGTGCCAGTATCTTTCATCAGGATAGCCCATGCAAAACAGAAGCACCTGAACTCTTCTCCTGCTTGCTTTGGGATACCTCCCTGGAACGCCACATGCATTCGAAATGTCCAGTTGTGACCAGTCCTGATGTTGAAACAACATGTTATGACTGACTCCACTCGAACATAGGCCATTTGTGTAATCCAACGGCGGCGCGCGCCACACTCGCCTGAAAGCCTGTGGTCCATCCTAACGTGGCCGCCTGCCTTTCCCAGAATCGCCTCGGGTTGATGCAGAGCTCAACCGGTGACGGGTCGAGCAAACAGGATGCTCGGAACAAGTCGCCAAGGCTCAGAACGCGGAGTGATTGGAATGCAGCCATGAAAAAACACGTGAGCTCGGTGTGATACCGACAAAGCTAAAATGCATCCACATACACGGTTCAGGTCCTTGCATTTCACACAGCATGCATTAAACATTAACGTACAAAACGTTGTGTACGTCATCGCCATTTGAGCTGCCGCATCTACTGTCGGATAAGAGTAAGAACTTCATGGAACCTACACCAGTCAACTGGTAGGATTCGATTTATTCAACGACTGTCATGAATCGATTATTGATCTCATCTTGTTAGCATTACTCAGCGGATATGAATCTATTGTCCCCAGGTTACCACGGCCTACAAATAAACGGGTAGCTATGTGTGGGGGGACTGCGACATCCACAATTCCAGTGAACAGTAATCGCCCCCCCCCCCCCCCCACACGCACCCACACGAAGCTTTACCGGTGGACTCTCGGCGTATGGCATCAGCCGGTGTGGATCTTGCGGTGACAGGTTCCTATGGTGACTTTTGACGCAAAACCAGGTCACCATGGTAACTTTAAGTTGAGCGTGTGTCCATGCGAGACAAAACATCTATCTCACTTCTACGGTATGTCAACAGTTCCACTCGTGTGTATAGAGTTGAATGCACGTTCCGCTGCATCAGCCTCGACAAGCCAGATGGCCTCAAATGACCAGGGGGTAATGAATGCGGGCCCTGTATCTGTCTCCGACTTAAAATCTATTGGACCATTCGTCACAAAGCATTCACCATTGCACCCGCCGCACACAAATCCTTTAATTCTTAAGAAAACAAACAACAGATGTTTAGATCAGGGATAGCTGCCACGCGAACCGATGGCTGACCAGTCCTTTGTAGGCCAACATAGTAACCCGCGACCGCCAGACATTGAAATAAAATCGGATAAATCAAACTGCGGGTCGAAATGTGAGTCTTTGTTGACTACCATATCAAAAATTTCGACACTGCAGCGGAAGTGACGCGCTGCGTGCCATGGACACCCGTTCGTTGTGGTCACCTGGGACCACCAACCTCACACCGAACGACACAACCACGCCATGCGACGAGTCGAAGTGCTAATATTTGTTTTGCCTTTGAATCTAATGAGACAATACTTTCTTCGGCTTCAGTTGTTTTCTTTTTTAGATCGGCGACGGCGGTAACGCCATCCATAGTTAGGAATGCAGTGGAAGGTCGCCCAGGCAGCCCCAAACCGCCAGGACTCTGAAGGCTGACGCTGTTAAAGTGAGGACTGGACCGTGTATATTTGTTGAAACCAAAGCAATAGTTTCTGATATTGGAGACAACAGCAATGTGATGCATACGAAGCCAGCTGGCTGCTAGAGGATTATCATGATGAACTAGGGCTACCAAATTCACGTCCAATGATAAAAAGCTATGCATTCTGAGGTCGGAGACGGCTCCAATACGTGAGTTTGCATCCCGAACAGGAAGTGCCACGCGAGCCGGTATGTGACATGTCTGACTTGCCAGCAGTTCGTCAGATGCCGCTTTGTCAACGTGAACTGCTCGCGACGCTGACCTACGCCGCACGCGCCTGAACTCCACTCCAACGGGCAGGCGACTACGCGACTGCAGGCAGGCCGCAGCGGCGATTTCCCGGCACCTCCGACCAACAGGGCACCAGTGTCTATAAACAAACCTCCGCCAGGCTCGCCGGCGGCTGCAGCGCGGCACACAGTTCTCGGAAATACGCTCCTTCATAGAAGAGCAGCAGGCGGGCCCGGACCGAGCTAACGAATCAGCGTGGCTGCTGCCGGCACGGTCCAGACCAGCCCGGGCCGATCGAAGAAGACCGCTGGAGAGCACAGCTGAGCTCCACAGCCAGGAGCACCGCTAATGCATGAGCAACCGCTTGGCTACCAATGTGAGGAATGCATGCGGTCACAACAACTAAGCCAAGAGAAGCCAAAACTGGCCCGTTTGCCTCTGGGTGATGACCAGAGGTTTGCACGAACTACTGTGTTTGCCTGTTTGGACTGGAAAAGGGCGTGTTGGCTGGGAGCTGAAAGGATTTCAGTTCACACAAATTTGGCGTGTAACAAGACACCTGCTTTGAACCATTGGAAGTGAGATGTCCGTAGCGTCGTCTTACCGACTACGCGATCTGAACAATGTTCATTACCACAGCAGGCAGCATAGCTGGTGAATGATGAGGAGAAGACCATTAGCTGTTCCAGTGAAGGTTGTCTCCAGACGACGCAAACTAACCGACGGGTTGTGATCAGATGTATTTCATTAAAATGCAGGGAACAAATTTCCAACAACCCAACCGATCCTTACGTATAACAATTGGACAAGCCTGGTCCGTTGTATGTTCACTATTCTCCCCACTGCCAAACCTGCATCCACGGATTCAAGCTTGATCACCCGCACGGGCCCAGTAAAACCGTCACTGGAACAGTCAATAGCTTAACATAACCTTTCGCGTGCCTTCAACGTCCAAGGCAGTGCACAGCCGCGCGCAGCTTTACGGCCGTTCACCAACTCACGAGCCGCACAATGTAACAGCCCGTCTCCGTCTCTGAGCGGCTACAGGCCGCCCTGGCAGTGCGCCGTCTCTCACGGGTAAAAGGTCACACTGAGTGGGGTGTGAGGGGCGGAGGATCACTTCACGGGGACACGACATCGGCCGGCGCCGGCGGCGGCGGCGGCGGCCCCGCGGCGCCGGCCATCCGCGAGTTATAGAACACGGCCGAGGGCAGCGGCTCGAGTTGTGGTTCGGGTTGCGCACCGCGGCGACGCCGGCGGCGCAGCCGCTTCTTGGCCGCCTTCTTTTCCGGCGACGCGGGCGCTGCGGCTGCCGCGGCCGCCGCCGTCGCAGCAACACACGCCGCCGAGCCGACCACCTGGACAGGGGCCGACACCTGTCCCGACGCCCGCGCCTGCGTGACGCGCGCCGCCGCCGCGTCAGACACCACCGGGCTGCCCGCCGGCCCCGGTCCAGAGCTATCCGGCGGCGGCGACTGTGGACCCGGATCGGGCGGCGACGGCTGTGGAGCCGGATCCGGCGCCGCCGCCGCCGTCGCCCGCCGCACGGCGCGCTGGGCGTGCGGCGAGTCGCCGCCGGCCGGCGCGTCGGTCGCGGCGCGGTCAGCGGTCGGCGTGCGCAGTTTACCTTTGGCGGCGGGCGCGGCGCGGCCGCGACGGCGCGGACAGTCGCTGGCCCAGTGGCCGATGTGGCCGCACACGTGGCACCCGCTAGCGTTGGGCGGCGGCCCCTCGCACAGGTGCTCGGACGACATCAGAAACGCCTGGCGGCACAGCACACATACGCACGCTGTAGCAGGCAGGCTGTCGTGACCGCACAACATACACACGCCATAGCAGGCAGGCTGTCGTGACCGCACAACATACACACGCCGTAGCAGGCAGGCTGTCGTGACCGCACAACATACACACGCCACAGCAGGCAGGCTGTCCTGACTGCACAGCACACAAACGCTGTAGCAGGCAGGCTGTCCTCACCGCACAGCACACACACACGCCGTGGCAGGCAGGCAGTCCTCACCGCACAGCACACGCACGCCGTAGCAGGCAGACTGTCATCACCGCACATCACACACACATACACAAGCCGTAGCAGGCGGGCTGTTTGGTAGTCGGGGACGTACACACTGGCCATGTACTCCGTGCGAGCGCGTGTGTGTACCTGCATCCACTGCATAAGCAAGGTTTTGTTCCACAGAGCTCCACATGTTAAGGTCTCAGTTTGATATGCGAGTAAAAATGAATGTACTAGGTCATAAGTGAGCATCGCATATGCTGTCATATGCTGTGGTGCATGCTGTCCGTGTGAAATATGCTGTCTGTCCATAAACGACGACGTTCAGAACGATGAGGCGACAGCCCTGACACATCTCTTTATAAATACAGAAAAAGGCGTTTTGGCGCACAACGTGCGCACCTGGCAACTTCCAAGGCAGCTTCAGACAGCGAGAACACCGGGTGGCGTCACGCGAAGAGGCGTGTTACGCGGTCAAACGCATATTCCGACCCTGTGGCCCCGAAAGCCCGTGTGGTTCTAGCTACCTTCCGTCCATTGACCAATCCAACCTACCTTCACAAAGACCATCTATCCTAAAACGACCCCAACGACCCCAGTCTCACTCGCTGCCCATGGCAAGCACGCAGACACCACGCCACGTACGCACGAGGCCGCTTCTTACCCTGCAGTCGCGAAACCCGGGCGGCAGCGTGCCCGGCACGTAGCCGAGGTGGTGACGGCGCCATTTCAGCAGCGTGCGCCGGATGAAGGCCGCCACTGACGAACGGATGAGGCACGGGTTAGCGCGCTGGGACTGCGGGTGGCCTCCGCAGAACACTGGCTCAGACGATTGAAGGCCGCGCACCCTCGCCCCCCGCGGGACACTGGCTCAGACAGCAGCGGACCGCGTACCCACGCTCAGCGCACGAAGACCTGGCGAGCCGCCGGCGCAACGCGCAGAAAACATATTGAGACGCCACAGGCATGATGATGGATGTCTACTGAGGTGACCTCGTGATCGGCGTCAATCGCAAGCGCCATCTGAGGGAGGCTGGCCCGACGTCCGAGGCTCGCCAAAGCGGCGCGTGTTAGCGCCGCACACCGAGCGCGCATGCGCGGCCCACCCGACGGCGACACTCACTCTTCCTGCGCACGCCGACGCCCAGGTTGTGACTGAGAAGGAAGGGGTCCTCGATGGCGATGAACGCGCCGTTCCAGAGCTTCTCAAACTTGGTGAGTGTGTGCGCCAGGCGGACGCACACCACGTGCCGCTCGAAGTCGAACTGCTCGCCGTAGAAGCGGAGGAAGCCGAGCCACAGCTCGCCGACGCTGCTGCGGTTGGCGCCAGCGTCTGGCCAGTGCCGACCCAGCTCTTCCAAGTCCGAGAAGAAGCTAACGTCGACGCCGTCGACGGTGCGCGCGGCACGGCCGGCGGCGCCCACCTCCTGCAGCACGGGCAGCACAGGCGGCTGGCACCGCTGCAGGTAGTAGATCATCATCAGCGTGTAGGCGTAGGAGGAGAGGCTGCCGCGCGACGCGTCGCACACGTCGCAGATCTTGGCCATCAGCTTCACCATGTAGCCGAGCATCTGCGGGCGAAGGCGGCAGTTGGCGGCACACGCCATCGGGGGCATGCCACGGGGAACAATGCACGCCACGGGGAACAGCGCAGCACGGCGCCCGCCCGCCGTCTGCCGGGCAGACTCCCGCCGGGGCACGATGACCCCCTGCCGGTGGGCGTCCACCCTCTGCTGTGACCGCACGTGACGCGCGGCTAACACGAGCATTGACCGCGAGACATCCGTCTGAGCGCCGGTTCCTGGACAACGTACTGAACGCCAGCTGAACCCGACGCCGCTGGCGGCGCAGCAGGGCCCTGCTGCAGACGACTGAGCATGGCGCGCCGGCCGCGCAGTCGGACCCAGACCATGGGCCAAGCGGCCGCCCTGTGCCCTAGCTCTCCAGCGCCTCGGAGTTGGCCACGACGGGGGCCAGCGGTGACCCTGCACCCCAGTCCCCAGCGGCCCCAGGGTTCGCCAGAACGAAGCCAGTGGCCGCCCTGCACCCTAGTTCCCCAGCGCCCCCGGGGAGACGGCGGTAGCCCTGAACCCCAGTCCCCCAGCGCCCCCAGGGTTCACCAGCGGCCAATCGTACCCGTCCACGGCTGTCGATCCGGGCGTACGTGTGCAGCAGCATGGTGTTGTGCTGTGCCAGCGTGTTGTACAGGCTGATGTCGCCCTCCAGGCGCGTGCGACGGTCCGTGAACTTGACAATCGGCACCTTGGCCGTCGTGATGGGGATGATGTTGCAGAGGGAGCGCAGCCGGCTCAGCGCGTTCGCCAGCTTCTTGATGATCTCCGCCTGGTCCAGCGCCTGCAGCGGATGACAGTGGTATAGGTGAAGGTCTTGTTTGGAGGCTGCCGCTGTCAGCGGCGCCACGATCTCGCACCGATAGTACAGCAGCAGGGGTTGGCAGCGCGGCAGTGGCAAAAACGGGACGGGCGAGCGCCAAAAAGCCTCACGCCGTCCCCGCTCAACAAGCGCCCACGGAAGATGTTGAGGGCCGCCCCCCCGGAGGTCAGGTACCGACAGCATCCGGGAGGGGCTCACCCCGCCCCGAACCCGAGGCTGACCTGCGGATCGGTGCAGTCCTCGAACGTCATGCAGATGTCGAGGTCCGAGTTGCGGAAACCGAAGCCATTGCACGAGGAGCCGAAGAGCGTCAACCGAGCCGAGGGGAAACAATAGTGGCGGATGTAGGACTCGACGCCCTCCAGCATCTTCTGGCGTCCCACGTACTCTTCCGAGGGCAGCGCCCAGTCGTCTGCAAACGCGGTGTGACGTCACGGGTGACGTCAGACAGCACCAGATGACGCTAGCATCACCAAACAGAGGAGTAGTTAAAAAAAGGTAACAGCTTACACATGGGATGCTAAGGCATCACATAATTAACCCAGCGGACAATGATCTTTACATACAAGTTGTTATCTGGTTTTTGAGGCGCACGTCTGCGCTGGTCATATGACACCCACTTTACATACAATTAGCAATGCCACTGATACCAAAATAACAAATGCAGCAGATATTCATTTACGTGAAACAGGCAGGCAAAATCCAGTGGTGAATGACAATACAAAATGTCTGCAGAAGAAACGGAAATGCTCGCAAATACACGAAAAAATAAAAGGAATCGAAAAAATTCCAATGAACACAGCCCTGGCAAACACGGATGGGGGGGGGGGGGAAACAAATATATGAATAAATAATCTAAAACAAAAAAGAACAAGTATCAAGCAAACGGTGCAACGCACCTAGCGCCCCCAAAAGCTCTCCGTAAACGCACCATACCAAGAGGAAACAAACGCATCACGAGCACGCCTAGAAATACCAGGCCGCACAGACGGAGCATCCCCTGGCCACCAGGCGCCGGAGCCTCTGTCACGGCCGCCGCGAGCCGCGCCCGTCCGGCGGCGAGGCCACTCACCGAACGCGGAGCGGCAGAGTCGGTCCAGCGTGGCTATCTGTTGCTCGGAGGCGGGCGGCAGCGGCTCCGGCGCCGGCACCACCAGCGTCGGGCAGTCGTCCATCACGTGGCCAGCCTTCTGGCAGACGCTGCATACCAGCGGCATGCTCTGCCGCCAGAGGGCAGCCGGTCAGAGGGGCTCGTGGCATTCACCTCAGGTCAAACGAGCAGCCCCTGCCACTCAGCTGATGGTCGCCCGTTCCTTCGCCGCCAGCGGCCCATCCCTCCCTGGCAAAATCCCACCCTTCGTTCACAGCAACCCGTCTCTCCCATACCACAGCCGAGCCCCTCCCGACTGCAGCCTGGCCCCTTCCAACTGCAGCGACTGCAGCTACATCCCTTCCGACTGCAGCCGAGCCCCACCCGACAACAGCTGAATACTCTTTGACTGCAGCCTGGTCCCTTCCAACTGCAACCTGGTCCCTTCCGACTGCAGCTCGGTCCCTCCCGACTGCAGCGACTGCAGCTGCATCCCTTCCGAGTGCAGCCAAGCCCCACCCGACAGCAGCTGGATACCCTCCGACTGCAGCCCGGTCCCTTCCGACTGCAGCCTGGTCTGTTCCGACTGCAGCCTGGTCTGTTCCGACTGCAGCCTGGTCTGTTCCGACTGCAGCCGCATCCCTCCCGACTGCGGACGGGCCCCATCCAACTGCAGCCGGATCCCTTACGACTGCAGCCTGGTCCCTCCCGACTGCGGCCGAGCCCGTCCCGCTAGCAGCCGAGCCTCGTCCCCGGCCCCTCACCGTTTGGCCGCAGAGTAGCTCCGTGTCGAAGCTGTACTGGAGCCGGTCGGCGCCGATCTCGCGCAGCCGGGCGGCCAGCGCCGCGCACTGCTGCTGCCCGGCGGCGCCGACCGCCGGCTGCAGGCTGACGGCGGCGCCCTCGGCCGTGCGTGGTACGCCGAACAGCAGGCAGGCGGCGCGCAGCCGGTCCACGATCACGTCCGCCACGGCGCTGCTGCTGATGCTGCGCGAGATGTTGCGCTTGCTCTGGATCGGGTCTGGCGGCGACGCGCGGCGGCGGCGCTAGTGCCGGAGGGGCGTCGGCGAATCGGGGGCGCGAGTGGCTCGCCGCAACGGCCGGTGATGTCGGCTTACCTACACGGCAAGCGCCGACTGCGTGCCGGCTGCGTGTGACATATCGACTAGAGCAGAGACAAAATCCCAAAATACAAAATGATGCATGGACACGAAATGTCTCCAGTTTCAGACGCTCTGCTAACACCAAGATGGCTTGTCGCTCGTACCAAGACCACCCTTCCCCCCAAACCCCTTAGCGCCGCCCTCGGGCTGACCTTCGATGGAGATCTTCTTGTTGCCCCAGCCCTTGTCCTCGCACGTGACCGGCTCCCTCTGTCGGATCGAGACCACCACCTTGCTGCCAGTCAGCTCCAGCGCGTAGAACCGCAGCAGGCGCAGCCACAGCAGCCCCAGGTCGTCCGTGTTCTCCGAGCGCCAGCCGGCGGCCGTCCCCGCCGCCAGATCTGCGCACCAGCACGTGCGGCAGTGTCAGCGCGCGGACACACGCGAAGCCGAGCGTCGCAGGAGATCGGCAGATTGGCACGTGAACGCGACAAGACGAGGACGGAAGCGGCAGCGCTGACGCGCGGGTGGAGAGTCGGTCTTTCCCTGCCGACACATCAGCAAGAAGTCCTGCAAAACAGCATCGACGTAAAACAGAACATAAAATACGTGTAGGGTCGTTCTCAGAGCCCTGTTTTCGCCTCGCCCGCGATCGCCGTCGCGGAACACCCCTTGCTTTCTCTTCCTTACCCACCGCGTGCCAGCCCCCTGTTCAACGACCACGTGCCACGCCCCAACCCCCTGTCATCCTTCCAACATTCATCCAGCGGGGCGCGCAGGAGGTAAATATAGATTCATGCCATCAGAAATCTGACTCTCTAGCGACCTCTACGTCACACGCAATATTCGTTGGCTACTAATCCGTTTCTACTTGACCCCGAACCCAGATCTCTGACCTATCCGGCCCCTTTGTGAGGCCTGAGACGCTTAGATGCTGGGACTGCCGGTAGTGTAGTGGTTAACGCGTCTGCGTTAACCTCTGTGTGGCTGGGAAACCAGGGATACGGGGTTCGATTCTCTGCGGTGCCCGCCCTCTCTGCCAGGGTGAGAGGCAGGCGACGCCATATAGCCTCAGCAGCGCACGCACGCACGCACGCACGCACGCACGCTTAGATGCTGAGTTAACCGCCGCCCGGCTCGGTGTTGATTGGCCGATTTTGAGTAAGGGAAGGGGCCACAAACAGTGAACTTCAAACTGAGGGTGCAATGGCATGGCAAAATGCCGACATCCCTGCCATCAAAGTGACCGGATGTGGAAACACTGTGCGTCTTAACACGTGACCCACTCACCGATGTCCAGCTTGGCCTGCGGGTCGCTGGGGTCAACTCCCGCCAGCTCGTGCAGCACGGGCAGCACGGGTGGCTGGCACTGCTGCAGGTAGTAGATGGTCATCAGCATGAAGGCGGACGGCGGCAGCGAGCCAGCCTTGGGCCGATCCATCTCGCACACCTGAAACGGCCCGCGGGGGGGGGGGGTGGGGGCGTCACAGGGAGCGTGCCGGGCGCACAGCCAGCGGGCCCGTCGCGCGGTGAACACGTGCGGTGAGTAAGCACGGACAACAGCGGCGGCCGGGAGCCGGCCCAGCACGGCCCACAGCTCTCCAAGCAGTTCACGGCGCGACGGCTCCGTGCATGTGTGTGTGGTTGCTGTCTACGTTAGAGTTCGCTGTCAGGTTGGTAAGTGACACACGTGGCGAACGCTTTCCGCAGCTACACAACTGACGGCTGCCTTGCTGCCGTGCCTCTCGTCTTCGTCCGCATCTACGGCTTTTCATCCCAGTGAGGTGCTGCTTGCTCTCATATCAGCCAGCGCCGATAGTTCCACCCTGATCATCAGCAGCAGCTATCTCCCTGACCATCATCAGCAGGTGTCTCCCTGATTATCAGCAACAGCTGTCTGACTGACTATCAACAGCAGCCGTCATACTGATCATCAGCGGCAGCTATCTCCCCTGACTATCAGCATCAGCTATCTCCCCTGACTATCAGCATCAGCTGCCTGCCCTTACCACCAGCAGCAGCTGCCTCCCCGACCATCATCAGCAGCAGAGATCCTCACCTGCGCGAGGTGGCGGAGCGCCACGGCCAGCGGCGCGCAGCGCTCGTCCAGCGTCGTGTAGAGCTGCACCAGCTGCGCCAGCTGCACGTCCTTGCCGGCGCCCAGGCCGACCAGGCACGGCTGGCCGCTGGCTGCGTGCACGCAGCGCACGCACGGCACCCAGCTGTGGAAGTCGTGGCTCACCTCCCTGCGGCAGACACGGCCGCGCTGATGATGGCGGGGTTCATGGCGGCCAGCGTTGAAGGCTGGATGGAGATCAACCCATAGCTCCGTTCCGTGTAATAACGATGCACACGGCTACACGAATTACAGGCCGGCCGGTGCGCGCACCAAAGTTGTCTTTGAGGAGGTTGAGAGGTAAAGGAAGGGGGGGGGGGGGGGAGGCGAACGGGAGCTATACGCTATCGCACAAATAGCTTCACGAAACCGGGCCCGACATAGCGGCCACCAATCCAAGGACTCCCATTGGTGTTATAAGCAACAGGACACTGACAGAAGTTAAATGGCAAATCAACCCGAACGTCCCACACGCACACGCACACACGCACACGCACGCACGCACGCACGCAGCACGCACGCACGCGCACACGCACACGCACACGCACACGCACACGCACACGCACACGCACACGCACACCAACACACACACACACACACACACACACACACACACACACACACACACACACACACACACACACACACACACACACACACACACAAACCATCTCGGCACGCACCAAGGAGTCCTGCTAACAGCAAATCAACCTCAGCACTGGTAATCATCGCGACAACATCTATCCGACTTAGCTATGACCGCTATAATGTTAAAACACCGGACTAAACAAGTCGGATATCTACATTTGACACGTCAAACAAACCACATATAACGCACAATGCCTTCGTCATGCGTCAACAATATCGTGCAGCCCAAACACAGCTACCAGCCACAAAATGCAAAGAGTACGGCCAACCCCACGGTCGCCCACCTCTTCCCCCCCCCCCCCCCCCCCACGAATAAGCCTGCCACGTCCCGCCAGCCGGAGACCCCGCCGCGGGCCGGCTCGGCACGTACGTGAACAGCTGGCTCTGCTCCAGCACGTGGATGGCGTGTGTCAGCTGCGGCGCGCCGACACTGTCGTCGGGCGTCAGCAGCGCCATGTCCAGGCACGAGTCGGCGAAGCCGCAGCCGTGGCGTGCGGAGCCGAACGTCTCCAGGGCGTACTCTGCCGGACGGGCCGGCAGCCGGTCACCACCGGCGTCAGGGCGGTGGCCGGTCACCACCGGCGTCAAGGCGGCGGCGGGGCGGGCCAGCAGCGGACCAGCTCAGGCGAGACGAGGGGCCCATGACATACAGGACGTTTGTTATGTGTGCCGTTACACTTATTTTGCGTAGCGACAGGTCGCTACCGGCATCAACGCGGACTTACCACCCTTCACCAGATTTCGAACATAACGCTCCAGCCGCCTTCCGCAACATGCTTCAAAACGCCAGGGAGCACGAAACTGTCCCGACAAGGCCGCGATCCCGCGGTGCTGCCACCAGATCACAGCCGAGATCCCGTGGCCCTGCCACCAGATCACAGCCGAGATCCCGCGGCGCTGCCACCAGATCACGAGCGAGATCCCGCGGCGCTGCCACCAGATCACAGCCGAGATCCCGTGGCCTGCCATCAGATCATAGCCGAGATCCCACGGCGCTGCCACCAGATCACGAGCGAGATCCCGCGGCGCTGCCACCAGATCACAGCCGAGATCCCGTGGCCCTGCCACCAGATCACAGCCGAGATCCCGCGGCGCTGCCACCAGATCACGAGCGAGATCCCGCGGCGCTGCCACCAGATCACAGCCGAGACAGGGAAACGAACGCCCGGCAACTCCGAGCCGTCCCCAGCGCGCCGTAGCCAGCACCTCCAGCCAGTCCGGCAGCACCCGCGGTAATCCCCGCACCGTAGCAGACCGCCCCGCCCGCCGTCCTACCGGCGCCGTCGAAATGCTGTCGGAGGCCGTCGAGCACGGTCTGCCTGAGCTGGTCGGCGACGCGGCGCCGCTCCGCCAGCCGGTGCGGGGTGAGGCCGCGCTCCTCGTACAGCCGGCTGAGCAGGCCGGTGAGGCAAGACGTCTGCGCCGGCGTCGGTCCCGGCAGCGTGCTTACCGCGGTCATCTCCTCATGACGCTGACGGGCGCCGACGGCACGGTCAGATGCACGGCTTTAGAACGCTTGGTGCTACATACGACAGCCGGCACCACGGTCATTATCCCCTCCCCCCTCCCCGAATGAGAGCGGTGAGCGTGACAAAATCTCCGCGCAGCGAGGCTCGAACTCAGGCCTCCCGGTCCGGGCTGCAGAGCGCAGACCACGAGCCAGACGGCGGTGTCGAGTGGGCGATAACGCGGCTTGGTGAATCAGCTCACTCGACCGCGCTCACACAAGGCCCGGACGGTCAGGAGGGGGACGGGGAGCGGGAGGGAAGCATACTCACCCGGCGGCTGGCGGTGTGACGCTTGTCGGCCGCGTGCTTCTCCACCTGCAGCAGCGTGTCCCAGTGCAGGTCGCAGATCTTGCACCAGTACTTGGAGTTCTTGTGGCGTACCGGCGCCTGCGACCGGTATGAAGACGAAAAGATCAGCGCACGGCGCCATGGTCCATAGCTCAGTCGGTTGCACTCGCTTACTGCTGTCGCTATCACATCTTGTCAGCCTTAATTAGATGCCTGAGTGCAACGCTGACAAATTAACCAGAACGACACAATGCCACTTACTCGGTGTGAACATTTGTCTTTAAGTAGCTGACAATGAGTATGGGGTTGACGATGCAAAACGACGGACCTCCCAGCGAATGTTCAATAATCGTTAGCCAACGAAATCCCCGTCGACGACAACTGTGACGCAAGACACACAGCTCCACACCTTTTTCAGCAGAGTGAAGTGGTTGGCCTCCAGCAGCTTTTTGAGCGGCCCCTGCGGCCTCCAGCGTTTGCTGGACGCCTCCTTGAAATGGGCGTCCTCGTCGAACACCAGCGGCGGCCGCTTCAAGCCGTTCAGCGAGCCGGGCCGCACCAGCTCCCAGCGGTACGTGACCACGACCGGCCCCTCATCCGCGTCCGGCGGCGCGCTCCCGCTCTCCGGCGGCCAGCTCTTCTCCTCCTGTGCCATGGTCTTGCCGTTCGGTGGCGCGCCGTTGCCCTCCGGTAGGCTCTCCGCCGCGGCCCGGTCGCGCGTCTCGTCCAGCTCCAGCCCGTCTCGGAGCTGGGTCGTCACTGCGGTCACGTCGGGAGGCGGCGGCGACGGCAGCGACGGCGGCGGCGCCGGCGCCGACACGACGCCCTCCGCATCCATCGCAGCTAAAACGGGTGGCGGCGGCGGCTCAGAGGAACGGGGCAATCTCACCTGGAACGGGAGAGGCCGAGGGTCAGGTCCGGCGCGCAGTCGCCGACAGCGGCCGGCCGGCTGCGGTGCCCGCTCGTAGCGCCGGCTCAGCAGCCGGACGCGGTGAGTCAGAGGGAGCACCCCGACCGCTCACGACGCCCGGAGACGTGCCAGACGAGACTGTATCGCAGCGCCGGCCGCCGGCTGCGCCGACAGTGGGTTGCACAGACGAGCAGGCAACAGCGCCGGCCGCAGTCCTGCTACACAAAGAGACAAAGACGGCGTCCCGCCCGCAGCCAGCTATCCGTTATCGGCGAGCGGGGGCGGTGTCGAGAGCTGCCGGCGGTCGCGCCTGGCGGTAACAGGAACGGTCGCCCCGCAGGCCAATCACAATGCAGATCCCTTTAGATGTTTTATAACTAGCACCCTGCGGGCTCGAGGTGAAATTCATGACGAATATACAACTTTACAGCACGGGACTAGTAAACATATAGCTTTGAGCGAGGGTGTATCTTTCGTTTCAAAATGCTGTTAATTTTTCATTCTAGTACCTGAAATTAATACATTTATGCCATGCTAGTGACAAAATGCACTAGTTTTCAGACCACGGGTGAAAATTACTCCATAACGCCTGCCAGCATGAGCTCTTTGTGCTGCAAGAGGATGCCTGCGGACAATCCACGGTCTAAAACTAACCGCGCCATCGGAAGTCCCAGTCTGTCAATCACACGAGCTGCCCTCAAGAACCCAACCAAAACAGTTTGGCCGCGCTATGACGCAGGTGGCCTTTGTTTCCGTGCTAGTTGACGTGGCTGGTATGCACCAATGAGGCAAATGGGACTGGCTTAACAGATTATGGACGATTTGTCACTCCCGATCAGGCCGAGGGTCGGATGGACTCGCATCAACCACTCGAGACCCTTTGAAATACCGACACACTCCACATGCCGCCCAGCGTGATGGCTGGGAATGACACATCTGCTCGCCGAAATCGGGAGTGTTGCTAGTGCCCCATGCCCTACTGAATTAGCTCCCTTGTTAACAGCACAGGTTTAATACAGATCCTAACCAGAGCGCCGCTACTACCCCCCATCTGCCAACCGGGGTGGTGCCAAGCTGCTGCCCGACAGTGTGGGACACCCAGCAGTGGTGGTGCCAAGCTGCTGCCTGACAGTGTGGGACACCCAGCAGTGGCGGTGCCTAGCTGCTGTCCGACGGTGTGGGGCACCCAGCAGTGGTGGTGCCAAGCTGCTGCCCGACGGTGTGGGAAACCCAGCAGTGGTGGTGCCTAGATGCTGTCTGATGGCGTGGGGCACCCAGCAGCAGTGGTGCCTGGCTGCTGTCTGGTGGTGTGGGATGGTGTGATTGTCCAGCAGTGTGAGACACCCTGCAGTTCTGTCTGAGCTGGGCAAGGCTTGTATGCCTGCATCCTCATAGCCCTTATCAAATGACCACCTGCTGGGACCACACTGTGCCATGCTGGGGGATTTTGTGCACCTCCAACTGAAGGGTAGTGCATAAAATTACATGGGAGGTGGCTGCCAAGCAAAGCTCAGCAGTGCTTGGAATCGCTGCCACACTTTGTTTATGTGGGGAGACATAAATGTTTGTGATATATAACTGTCAAAACTAAGTCCAGTTACATAATGGTAATAATGGGTACAAGATCTACATCATTTTTGGAAAACAGACCCATCATGCAAGAGCATGTCAAAAATTAAGAGTATCACCACATGCACTCTTCAGCAACTTGATGCAAGTGCACATTACATGGTATTGCATGTGCATATTGCATGGTATTGAGTAACATTACTATGACCCTTTCATTACACAGAAGCTGGCAGCTTGGTTTGCACTGATGCATGACATCCCAACAAGAACTACCAATTATTTTCAACCTTCCAAACCCAATGTTGGTGTGTTTGTTGGGGGAATCCATTAGTTATGTGAAGAATAGGATGAAAGCAGTTTAGATGGAGCATAACCAAAGCATAACAAGAGTGGAGGGAGGTTTCATAAGGGTATAGGTATATATTGGTACCTAACATTATAAAAAAATCATTGTACACCATTCATCATGATTAAGGTGGAGCATATTGTAAATAATCTTAAAACAGGTAGATTCATGCTCCTACCTTCAAATCTTAATAACTACCATAGTGAGCTCCCGAGCGCTGCACACACCCCCACCGCCTCGACTCCCCAGCGCCGATTCTGCGTTGTTATTGCATAATTACAATATTTCTGCTTATCAAGAACCATAAAAAATGTATAGGACCAAGGTAATAATAATGATGCAATGAAACACGTTTCTTATTGCGTCTAGGTACATTTATGAAACGGACAGGCCAGAATAGTCCAGAACATAGCCTAAACTAGCCTAGTAGCCTAGCCTAGCCTAGCCTAGCCTAGCCTAGCCTAGCCTAGCCTAGCCTAGCCTAGCCTAGCCTAGCCTAGCCTAGCCTAGCCTAGCCTAGCCTAGCCTAGCCTAGCCTAGCCTAACCTAACCTAACCTAGCCTAACAACCTAACAACCTAACAACCTAACCTAACCTTACCTAACCAGTGTGGGAGAAACCTCCATTTTCTGGTGGATGTGGCACCAGGAAACTTTGTACTCCAGGCTCTTGACTAGCAAGAATGACAATTTTTGTACTCCAGACAAATGCTGCAGTCTGCCCCACAAAGCAAAGGCACCATTGCAAATGTATGAGCCTGAGCATAAGTACCAAGGCAGACAGCTTTGTTTTCTTGATAGCCAGGAGGGTGCATGAACTTTGTTTTCATAAAGTGAGTTATAACTTTTATTTGACTTCCAGGGACCAACCATATGGAGCACCAAGAAATGGACACAAGCATCTGCAATCCTGCAGGAGCTGGCCAATCCAGGGTGTTCATGTCAATGTCCTTCATCATTGTATTACATGGGTTAGATGCACTTGGACAAGCCTATGCAACTCCCAAAGGGTGATGGCAACTCATGTGAGGTACTTCTGTGGAAATGAAATTAACTGAAATACGAAATGTGCTTGTTTTAAGTACCTACCGCTGCCACATACCTCAGATGTCACCTGTGGGGAAAATATATGGCGCACCTGAGTAAGACCGCATTCTCCACGACGCACACACCTACCGATACCTTTTTCAAGAAACGGACAAACATATCACGGCGCCGGCTCCCACCACGCGACGAACCCATCGCCTCCCTTGCCCGAAACTTATGGCAGTCCACAGCCCTGTAACTGACGAGTGCATTCTCGGGCAGTGAAGGTCCGCGTCGGAACAAAAAGACACCTACAACGATATTCGTTCGGCCGGAAAACCACCAGCGGCACCAAAATCACCCATGACTCATCTATTTCAACTAGATCATTCAAAGACTCACAGAGCAAGAAGTCCAGGATGCCAACTATGCTCTTAACTTACCTCATATTAAGAAAACATGCTAACGATTTTACCAAAGGGCGTGCATTTTGCAAATGGTTTGGTGGGAGAATTCCAAAATATTGCAGCAATGAACATCCTTTTCAAAGTGCTTGTTTCATTCTTGCTCTTGCCATACCAACCATCAATCACCATCCAACTCGCAATTAAATTGAAAATCATAGCACTCAAACACACCACATATCAGCACTTTTAAGATAGAATCATGACATTAAATGACATCCAAATATCACTTTTGCGGGCGGCACTTTTGGTGGTAACGGCTTCTTTTGGGTTCTTGTCATCGGAAATTACGTTCCCAAAATGGGAGTTTGTGGCGTGAAGCATTCCAAAACTTATCATTACTATTGTATAAATGATAGTAAGTCAACCACTTCTTAAGAAATCGGTAAATGCCGGCCATTAAATATTCGAGGATATCTTACTCATTTAACAACGATATCACGTCTCCAGGCTCAACCAGTACCTGTACTTGCAAGACAGAGATGGTCCATAATCCGGTGGGATAAAGCATTTGGTTGCCCTTCTCACAATGGGACCTATGAGGAGACCCGGGGAGAACAAGCCGGAGTACATGCCCGAGAACAGCAAGTTTTTGGCAAGGCTAGCCAAATTTTAATGACAAATTTACGTGTTTTGGTATCGCCCAGACGTGGGTCTTCCTTAGAGGGTGTTGAAATGACGTGATATGCCTTAGAATGAGAAATATCTATCGATTTGTAGTACAGGTACTGCATTATCTCAGCATTGTCTTGCACCATCAGAAGATAAGATATATTTAAAGGTGGCATAATAGAACTTGAAATGCATGGCTATAAAGCACTATGATATTTCTACCACACTTAACAATTTGTGTTGGTGCAACTGGATAAATGGCTTTTCTTAGACTATTCATCACAGCCTGTCATTTCAGGAACAACCTGTGGTACTTGTACTTGGTTAGCCCCTTGATGAGTGCTAGAATGTCATCACAATGTCTGGCAATGCGCCAGAACTCCTGTGGGTGGTTTGGTTGTTTGTCTTGATGTGGTCGGAGTGGGGAGGACGGAGGGCGAGCGTAGCTGCTTGGGATTATGTGCATCGTGGTTGCGAGTTTGAGTTATTCAGTGAGGCAAAGTGGAATTGGTTGTCTTAAATTTTCACACAGCATGCATCCACACTTCTTAAGTTACTCGGGATTTAGTTTTGGACCGCTATTAAGTCCTTCCAAAAAAGGTTAATAAATGCCTGGGGGCTGATCTACAAATGTTTACCACTGCAGGCCGATGCAAAATCACCTTGTTATAACCTGCTCTACCTACAGCATGGTGGGTAGGTAGGCAGGTACTAAGGTATCTATATACAACATTAATGCTAGGTTTGGGTTTCCCATGTGGGATCAAATATGAGACTGACCTGTTTTCAGCCTGTGGTTATAATTGCTGTAACATGTCAGGTGGCAATGCTGCCATGTTCCTTGCTGTCCGGCATAAGATCCTGCAGTGACACTATTAAAATTTTCCCTGTATAGGATCATAGGGGACTTAGAGAAGAGGAGAGGGATAACAGGAGGTGCAAGAAGAGAGGAGGAGCAGAAGTGGAGGAGGAGTGGAAGGAGAAGAGTGACAGAAAGAGCAGAGGAGGAACTGAAAGGGGAGAAGAGCAGAAATAGAAGAATAGGAGGAGGAACACTTTTGGTATGTTTAAATTAATTCTGTAAAGGCCTCAAGGACTACATGTTAGCGATGTCACATACATAAGGCTTTCATAGTCTGTTGCAGCTGCCTAAGAGTTATTAAAAAACCAGGGTGTCATGCAAAGTGTCTGTCCTGAACCTAACCTAACCTAACCTAATCCCCCACCCTATCCCCTTCAACCCAGTGTCCTATTGGCATCCATGTTCCATGCCATATATATGTACCATATCAAGAAGTTTTGTTTAGCTGCCATATTTTCATTCTCACTTTTCATTCCCACCCAAAAACATCATATTTCCCCACCATGTTGACCAATCTACAAGCAATATGGAAGACTGCCTGGATATGCAAGAAACACATTTTATTGGATTCTTGTTACCTTGGCCTCATACATTTTTATGGTTCTTGATGCACAGTAATCTTGTGATCAAGCAGTAATGTTGTGATCACACGTAGAAATGGTGCCGGGCCGTGATTGCTGCTTGTTTGCGCTCAGATGCTCCCTATCATAGTTATTTAAGTTCCAAGGTAAGAGTTTTGATGACCTGTTTTATGATTAATTATGATATGTTCTGCCTTAAAAATGATGATTGATGTACAGTGCTCTTTCTTAACATGAGGTAGCAATATATACCCTGACCTTCATAAGAGTAGCATTACCCTGAAGTTGTAATACTTGGCTAACTCAGGTTGCTCACTAGGACCATTCTTATATTACACTATGTTTTCAAGTGTGTATTCTTTACCTGAAATGGCATAATCATCTGTTCAGCATAACCAGTGTGTGACAAGGAGAGCAAGGGCAAATAGTTTAACATTCGCAGGTAAGTTAACTTCATCCTGTGAAAACATGCAGATAGGCACAGAACGTTTCCAAGTGATCTGATTTTGAACTAACATTAGCCAAATTTGATGAACTTTGAACGCTAAAGTCAAATTCAGAAGCAACTTGGAATCATACTTTCACTTCTCCCCAGGTCATACATGCATGCAACACGTGAGATCGCTATCATCACAGCAGAACCGCTGGTTTAATTCTTACCTGAATGCGACATTTGCATTGGCAAACAACAGTTACTGAACATAAAACAACAGGCTACCTGCCATGCAGGCACTTCCTACAGCGTCCAACCATCACCCAAACCCCTTTCCCTTGTTCCACTGAAGTTCCGCCGGATAGTCGTCACACACTGCGTCGTGATTGCAAAAATGCGGCATGTCTGCCTCTTAAAAACCGGATGGTAACATGCTGTATCAAATTGTAAATTATTAAAAAGGAATGTTTCACAATTCACAAAGTTATTCAAGCATTAAGCATGATAGAAAAAGCTCACTTGTAACCATTGGTATATCTTTAAATGACAAATACCGCCCTAGACATCAAAATTCTCTGTTTAGTAAGTATGCTCCTCAGCGCGTCCTGGTTTGATTACGTCATCGTACTTTGCACAATTTTGACTGAGAGCCAAATAACGGCTGTTTAATCTGGAAATTGCACTCACGAACGCCAGATACGAATGCCACGACAACATGTTTTTTCTACTTCGATTTTGGCATGACTCATGGAATGGCAGGGTTTCATGACGCTATCATGACGCCACGAACACCAGGGTGACTTTGAAATGCTCTCCCCGATATATCCTTCCCCACTTTCGCGGGCGTTTAGCTCGGAAACTAGAGCGGCATGGGTCTTGAAAGGGACGTGATTGTGAACAGCGCCGAAAGGTCTTCAAGATGGCTATTTCATTTCAAACCCCCATATAAAAGTGGAACACTCCCTTCGAAGAACGACTTTGGAATCTTTCCTTCGCTGCTTACTAGCTCGGTAGGATGCACCCTGTCTCACAAATGTGATGGGGCCATGAACTCAGATCAGGCCTTCCGCAACTTTCCTGTCAACATCCTAGGCCTTGTCTTGGGTACTCACAGTGGATAATCAACCAAGGCACAATCACCCATTTACGACATCCCTGTATGCCGATGGGGCTCAGGGGCGTGGAAACTATGGTCAAGTTGTGGAAAAACTTAAAAGTGCCAAAATGCCCCCATCCCCGAAGATCACAAAGACGGCCCCACAAGTCGATATCGACGTTGAAAAAATGTGATAATGTGATGCGACGTAAATTCAGACCAAAACTTCCCGTACCGCCCGCACGCCACGCTAAAATAGTGTCTTAGAGGTGTTTTATATAATAAAGACTTAATGTAATGGAATGATACAAAAAAGCCTGTTTACACGGCAGCACTGTCAGCAACATCCAAGGAAAAATAGAATATTCTCATATCTTGTGTCAGCTGGCTGAATGGCTTGGCCTCCAAACCCGATGGCTAGGTCTCTTACGGATGTTTACCTACATGTTACATGTTACATGCTTCATGATGGCACGTTAACCTACCCATAGAAACTCATGTCTGTCGCATGCAGCAGTGCGTCTACCAATACTAGAGCAATTCTCCCACCGCCAATGAAAGTGTTTGCTCGCTATAAAACTTCCCGCTAAAAATCGCCATAGCTAAGCGGATAAACGAAGCAACAAACTGCATACACATAGGGTTATGAGACACTTACAGGTTAAGAGGCTAGCCTGAAAAGCTGCGGAGTGCAGGCTGACCTGATTCTTTCGTGGTTAAGCTCGTCTCTGTCCCCCACAGCCAAGAGTATCTGCCGCCGCCCATGGCCGCCATAGCGAAACGCCCTCGGTGCCCCAGGCGGCCTCTACAGGAGTCTTTTCTTTCCGAACCGAAGGGGCACTGGGGCACTCGCCCCCAGCGCCTTCGCTGTTGAGATCTGCCCTGCATGGCTACTTTGATGCTTAAATTAAATACTCCTTGACAAATGATACAAAAATAAGAAGATCAATTGCCTTAAGGAGAAATAACTTGGGCTAAAACTGCCGTAAAAATGGGGAGATGTTAAATCGTTTGGTGCTTAGTCCCCCGCCCCAGATCATTCATAAAAAGGATCATTCACAAAAATCGGCAGCACTGGTCTCTTAAGCTTCCGACAAATCACTGGATCATAGAATTGTTTATTTCAGTAACACACATAGGTAGGCATTGATCGTAACAGCTCAATTCAGCTCAGTTCGCTCCTTACAGAAGCTGTCACCATGACTAGATAATTGACTGGGCTTTGAGACCGCAGACTCACATCCGTGTCCCTTGCGAAGTGACATGCAAAAGCTCTTCCGAAGCTAAAACAGCAAATCTCAGCGTACACCCCAGTGCCGTAGTGCGCGGAAGGGCTTACTGGGTATCCAAGGAGTCTTACTTTGGTCGTCCTAAGGAGCACCATCCATGGGTCCAATGTCATAGACTGGTCTCATAAACCCCAGTTAGGCAGCCTCATGCTTCAACGTGACTCGGAGGGCTCCCTCCGGCCCGTACCACGACTTGCACCATCGGCCCCCAGCGAACACCCGGCGGCCGCCCCCCCCCCCCCCCCCCCCCCATCAGGCGGCCGCGTCAGCGGGGCCGGTCGTCGCGCCGCGGCGCCATCTGAAACAGCAGCACGCGCGGCCGGTCGCTGGTGTTGTTCTGCACGGCGCACACCAGCCGGCCGGGGTCGGCCCACACGTGCTTGACGGGGCCGCCGCTGACGTCTGGCGTGACGAGGTCACGCACCAGCGTGCCGCGCCGCGTGTTCCACAGCTTGACGCGGCCGTCGCGCCCGGCCGTCACCGCCAGGTCGGCGAGCAGCAGGCACACAGAGGTCAGGCGCTGCCGGTGGCCGTTGGCGCCGCCCAGCCTGCCGCCGCGGGCCAGAGGCGGGTCAGCACAGGTCATCGACCCGCCGCACGGAGAGTGTGGCCACATGATAAGGCTTAGTCCGGAGCCGTGGGCAGGTCTTTGTTGCGGTGTAGCGAGATCAGACGATGCTCAAGAGCTGCTCTGACCACAGGACGTTCAGAAGCAGCCGCCACCCAGAGTATCTCAAATTTGAATGAAAGGATCGCCAGGCAGCGGCATCTGGGCATATTATGGTCCGTCGCTTGTTATCAGGGCTTTGACTCACGCAACAAAAACTCGCTCCTACTAAAGGGGACGCGAGCAGAACAGAAGAGAAAGGAACATGCTACCAGTATGTCTCCCACATATATCGTCATACCACGTCGCAGACTTGCTGAGTTCCACTATGCATTTGCTCTTGCCCACTGGAACCCATCTGCACCTGCGCCCCAGTGCTTTGTCCCCACTGGAATGCGCATGCGTTCGCTGCGCCCGTTCTGCCGCCCTGATAGCCGATCTGGCGGCCGCCGGGGCTCACCTGTGCACCACGCCACCGTCGCTGATGTTCCACAGTATGGCCGTGCCGTCCCGGCAGCCGCTGAGCAGCCGGTCGTGGCGCAGGCACAGGCCCGTCACCCAGCCGGTGTGGCCCGTCAGGTGGTGGCGCAGCCGACCCGTGCCTGTGTCCCACACGTGCACCGCGCCGTCGCTGTGGCCGCTCACCACCACGCCGAAGCCGTACTGGCGGCACGTGCGGCGCATGTCACGGGTCTGCACGTACGTGCCCAGCGGCCGCGTGCGTGCCGACCCGGCGCGCCGGGCCGCGTCGCCTGCGGGTGGGGCCGTTCGCAAGGCAGGCGCCGCGCGGCACGCTGTGCTCGAGTGCACGACAATGGTGCACGAGAGCAGGCCCCCAGGAGGAATAAGCCTACGTTGCGCAGCATAACGGGGCGATGTTGTGTAGTTATAAACATGTCCATGTCCATCATTCACACCACATGTCCACCACATGCCCGCCATTCATACCACATGTCCACAACATGGCCGTCATTCACACCACATGTCCACAGCACAGCCGTCATTCACACTATAAGGCCACAACATGTCTGTCATTCACACTACATGCCCACATGTCCGTTATCCACACCACATGGTCACAACGTGTCCGTCATTCACACATGCTATAGGGGTTACACAATGCTTGAGGGGCAATACGTGTCGCGAAATGGCTGCAGTAACGCAGATCGAGACTAAGTAATCGCGGTATATCCCAAGACGTCCCAATACACCCACATAGCTCATACCCGGCAGCGCCCTCACACAAATACCCGCACACCCAGCTACACTCAGACACCCGGACGCTACCACACAGCCAGATTCTCCCACCTTCCCACAGGCCCAGACACTCTCACACGCTAAAACACTTCCACGCACTCCACCCAGTTTAGCAGTTACCTGTTTCGAGCAGTCCAACACATTCCGACACCACCTCACCTAGCCACCTCAAGAACCTCAAAACCACCCTCACTGAACCATACTAAACACCAAACACCTGAACACCCCAGTCACCCCCCCCCCCCCCAATCTCTTCCCCCGTGCCCAGGCCCCTGGCGACGGCTCCGTCTGCCGCCCACCTGCAGGACCATGATGTAGCGGCTGCGCGCCTGCCAGACGTGCTCGTCGGCGCGCGTCTCGGCGTTCCAGACCCGCACGCAGCCGGCGTCGTCGCCGGAGACCAGGCGCCGGCCGTCGAAGCACACCACGCGGACGACCGTCTCGTGGCCGCGCAGCACCGCCTTCTGCGTGCCGGCCACTACGTCCCAGAGGCGCGCCGTCTTGTCGTCCGAGCAGCTCGCCGCCCTGGCGCGCCACCCCCGCGTGTCAGCGGCGGGGTGTAACCGCGTCTCCCAGATCGGGGGGATGAGGATGGGAGAGGGGTAAAACTGCAATATGGGTGACGACTTGGTCTGAACATGTTTTTGTTGAATTGAGAACCATAAAAACGTACGTTGCACGCGTAAAATTAAAGGGGACAAAAATCAGTTTGGAAAATTGGGAAAAGGTCCAAGGTGTCAGGCGGGTAAGTGAGCTGATACAGGACGGAGCAACACGCCATATGAGACACCCAATCCAGCTGAGTCTTGGTGATCGGATCGGTGTTGTGTCGCTGGATCACAGCGCCCCCGTAACGTCACTGTCGTTTGATTACACCACTGTCGTTTAGTCACGCCACTGTCGTTTGATCACACCACTGTCGTTTGGTCACGCAACTGTCGTTTGGTCATGCCACTGTCGTTTGGTCACGCCACTGTTGTTTGGCCACGCCCCTGTCGTTTGGTCACGCCACTGTCGTTTGGTCATGCCACGGTCCCCTGGTCACGCCATTGTCATTTGGTCACGTCACGGTCGTGTGGTCACATCATCATCGTTTGTTCACGTAAATGTCGTTTGGTTGCGTCACTGTTCCTTTCCTGATTACGCGCGATCATGATCACCTGAGCTCCCTTTCATGCACCTCGCTCGCAGGGCCGGTACGTTAATAACGTGATGGGCATCCGAGCCTCTAACTCGACTCACAAACTCCACTTAACGCGGGCTCACTGTACAGACATGCTGGCTGGCCCGATTCGCCGAACTTGCAGACTTCGGACGATCAACCTTTTGGACATACGCTGGGTCAGAGCTCTTGAGCATTACTTGCGTCCGACCGCCGCAGGTGGCAACAGTACTAGCCGAGCGGGACTCCCTGACCTGACTCACATGACCCCAGCGGACTTTTCGACCTGACCCATCTGATACCAGTATACTCCCTGACCTGACCCAACTGACCCCAGCGGGACTCCCTGGCCTGACCCGGACTAGGCAGCGTCCCCGTGGCCTGGCCCGGACCAGACAACACCCTCCCCCCGTGACCTTAGCCAGCCTCAGCGAGCCCCGGGCAACGGCGCTCGCCCACCTGGCGCCGTGCAGAGCCACACTCCACACGATGCCGTCATGGCCGGTCAGCCGGTGGCGCAGTCGGCCGGTGGCGGCGTCCCAGACCAGCAGGCAGCAGTCGCGCCCGGCCGACACCACCAGGTCGCCCAGCACCTGAACGCAGGTCACCTCGCTCTGGCCAGACATGCGGGTCTCCAGCCGGCCGGCGGCCGCCGACCACACCTGCCAGCACAGTGTGGATGTCGGCGCGCGCGCGCGGACCGCGTCCGCTCTTTCTGTGGCACCGGTCGGCGGTGGCACCGGTCGGTCGGGTCTCGTGCGCCCAGGGGCTCATGATTTGAATGGCTCTTAGACGCACAGGAACAGTCAGATGCCGTCAACAGTAAGTTTCTAGAAGCCTCCGACGCACCAAAGGTCATTCATGGTATGATGGTACAATGGGCCATTTAACCGATGTTTTTAAGTCACGAAGTCTTCACGCTGGAAAAAAAAGTATTAGCAGTTATTTACTGTGCGCATTTCGAAGTCAGGCGTGTCAAAGATCAAAGGAGTTGGTTGGATCAATGCGTATAAGTTATTGTTCTTAAGAAAATGTACATGGATTGAGGTTTCGACGTCCCAGCTGACTTCATCTTCCAGCAGCGGCCAGAATCTGTCGCCAGTTGTTGCCAGCAGCAGCGCAAAAACTCGACATGGTTTAGAGTTCCCAATGTCGAATCGACATGGTTTAGAGCCCCCAGCGTCGAACACGGTCTCCTATTCCTGATAGAATTAGAGGTGGGGGAGAGTAGGGTAAGTTGTATCATGTCCAAGAAGCATCCTGAGATTCATTCGAATTCTGGGTTATGGAGGGCAGTCTTGAGTTACTCAGCTGACGCACAGCAGCTCCCTCCACCTTTCAGCGTAGTTCCGGCTGCATACGTGCAAGCGTCTTGGGATGAGCGCGACAATGTGTATTGCACATCGCCGAATACTAAAGCGCTCGGTGCAGAGGTGTGTTCGAGGGCTTACAACATAACTAGACCAATCTGAATGCTTCACTGAGTGGTGGGAAAGTACATGCATGGTTTATGCTGCAGAACATTTGGTGTCTCTTTGCCATGAATTTTCGGTGACGCAGACTTCCTTCCCAGACGTCGGGCGGCTCATAATGTGATACAAAACACCGAAAATATGTCCTCGACTGACTTGCTGTCAATGATTGACAAGATTGTTAAAACTTATTTGTTATTTTATACTGGTAAGACTATTACTGTCATCCAGAGAACAAGTCGACATTTACATTACTTACGTAGATCCATGATTTCTACCTGAGCAACCGAAACAAACCAAGCTGCCTGTTTTACGACTACTGCTAACTTGGCAAAGGACGTAAGATAAACACTGACTGATAACAATTTATCCCAGGGTGCGCGAGTTGTCTCTTTTGGAAGTAGTTCATTCAGATGTCATTTACGAAAAGGTGGAGACGCGCCCCCCAAAACTCTATTGCTACATGCGAAGCTGAAGGCCATAAGTCTGCGACATAAGAATCTTAGTACTATCTTCGCTAGTTACAGCATGATGTAGCTAGAGTAAAAACTGAGAAAACTCTCCCTGCTCTCCCCTACCTGTGGTAGAGAACAAGGAGACTATGCGGGGAAGAGTTGGAGCAAAGAACCCTGGAGATGTTCTACCTTCCCACCACCACGCTCAGACAAAGGCCATTTTTCGCGTTCTCTCACGCAACTGCTCTCCATTGATGGGTGTAGCCTCATACCTCTTTGGAAAGGCCATGCCCTCCCCTCCCAGCGAATGTCTCTGTGTCTTCAATATTGAACCCACGCCGCCCAACAGTCAACAAGACACAAAGCACCGTAAAAACCCTGACTCAACAGGACTCACCGCCACGGTTTTGTCGCTGGAGCCGGTAACGATGCGGTCGCCGTCCACATCCATACATCGAATGACAGCGTCGTGGCCCTTCAGCACCTGCCGACCGTGCTGGTGTCAGCGCTGCCAACGGCGCTGGTGTCAGCGCTGACATTGGCATCTGCCGACGGCGCTGGTGCCAGCGCTACCTGCCCACGGTGCTGCCGTCATCCCCACGGTGCTGACATCGGCAAATGCCAACGACGCTGGTGTCAGCGCTGACATCGGCATCTGCCGGCGGTCCTGGTGTCAGCGCTGACATCGGCACCTGCCGACGGCGCTGGTGTTAGCGCTGACATCGGCATCTGCCGACGATGCTGGTGTCAGCTTTGACATCGGCATCTGCCAACGGTGCTGGTGTCAGCGCTGACATCGGCATCTGCCGATAGTATTGGTGTCAGCACTGACATCGGCATCTGCCAACGGTGCCGGTGTCAGCGCTGACATCGGCATCTGCCGATAGTACTGGTGTCAGTGCTGACGGCGGCATCTGCCAACGGTGCTGGTATCAGCGCTGACATCGCCATCTGCCGACAGTGTTGGTGTCAGCACTGACATCGGCATCTGCCAACGGTGCTGGTGTCAACGCCGATATCGCCATCTGCCGACGGTACTGGTGTCAGCGCTGATATCGGCATCTGCCAACGGTGCTGGTGTCAGCGCTGACGTCGGCATCAGTTAGCCGCGGCGGATTCAGCGCCCTTTCGGTGGCATACGTGGCCACAATTCGTAGAAGTGACCTTCTATCGGCGTTGGCACTGGGGCGCAGCACAGCTCGGACACCAAATGATGTTTAGAGGAAGAATTAGCCCCCCTGGTCCAGCTTGGGTCACGACGCTGAGTGGCTCAAACTCAAGTTCCATTGTAAGAACGCATGAACATCAGCAAAAAAAAGACGAGTAGTAATACAGACCCTTAAGCTGGTTTCCTCTAGGCATCATCGTGGGCTCAATGTTAATCTTTCACGAACGGTGTAGTGGAGAGGCAGAGCCCTCTCCAACCCCTTCCTCTCACATCTGCAGCACGTCCGACCAGGCCCAGGAACCGTCTCGAGAAATCGTACCAACATGAATATAAATCAATCAGTACAGCACAATGTGTAACATCATAATACGTTATCACCGTACGCAACACCATCTCCACTTCTGCCACACCAAACCAAGATTACGAAATAATATCTCGTGGTTGGCGCAACGACACGGCTGAGGACGCAGAAGTCAGGAGCCCATCCCGTGATTGGCGCAACGACACGGCTGAGGACGCAGAAGTCAGGAGCCCATCCCGTGATTGGCACAACGACACAGCTGAGGGCGCAGAAGTCAGGAGCCCATCCCGTGATTGGCACGACACAGCTGAGGGCGCAGAAGTCAGGAGCCCATCCCGTGATTGGCACAACGACACAGCTGAGGACGCAGAAGTCAGGAGCCCATCCCGTGATTGGCACGACACGGCTGAGGGCGCAGAAGTCAGGAGCCCATCCCGTGACTGGCACAACGACACAGCTGAGGACGCAGAAGTCAGGAGCCCATCCCGCGGAGCCTGCCTCTGACGCCTACCCACGCTGGACGGGCGGAGCGACAGCGGCGGCCGCCGCTCACCTTGGGCGCCAGCAGGGGGAGCTCCGTCCAGCCCAGCCACTGCATCCAGCCCTCGCGCGTCATGCCGCCCTCGCCGGTCGGGTCGGCGCCCGTCAGGCGGCAGCACCGACGCCAGACGCCCTCGTCGCCGGCCAGCGCCTGCCAGCGGCGGCTCGCGCCGCCCGCGCGCACCAGGTCTCGCGGCGACAGGCGCGACAGTACGTCCATCAGAATCTGTCGGAGAGAGTGGGATGGCATGTCCATCAGAATCTGTCGGAGAGAGTGGGATGGCATGTCCATCATAATCTGTCGGAGAGAGAGGGATGGCATGTCCATCATAATCTGTCGGAGAGAGTGGGATGGCATGTCCATCATAATCTGTCGGAGAGAGGGGATGGCATGTCCATCAGAATCTGTCGGAGAGAGAGGGATGGCATGTCCATCATAATTTGTCGGAGAGAGTGGGATGGCATGTCCATCATAATCTGTCGGAGAGAGGGGATGGCATATCCATCATAATCTGTCGGAGAGAGTGGGATGGCATGTCCATCATAATCTGTCGGAGAGAGGGGATGGCATGTCCATCATAATCTGTCGGAGAGAGCGGGATGGCGTGTCCATCATAGCCTGTCGGAGAGAGGGGGATGGCGTGTCCATCATAATGTGTTGGAAAGGGGGGGGGGATGACACGTCCGTAAAAATCTGTCGGAGAGATGGGGGATGATATGTCCATAAGAATGTGTCGGAGGGAGCGGGGACGGTATGTCCATCAGACTATCGCGGAGGGAGGCGGCAGCACGTCCATCGAAATCTGTCAGGGGCTTGGCGGCGCGGCTTCTTCACTAGGCTCTGCTGGAGTGAGTATACGGAATGGCCTACCACCTCAATGGGGGGGGGAGGAGCGGGTTGACAAGAAAGCATGTCCGCCAGAATACGTCGTAGGGAAAGTAGGGCAGGAGAGGAGGATAAAGAGGGAGGGGGGGGGGGGGAGGCACACAGCATGCCCTTCCGAACCTGCGCAGATGGCGAGCACTGCAGGAAGCTCCTCACAACGTGCCCCGATACTGGCGCGTGCTAAGTGAGGTAAACTCTGGGCTGAGAGCAATGGAGGCTTCTATGGCTTCTGTATGTCTATTTTAGCTCCCATAAATATTTTAGAACGCACCAACTGCAGTTGTCATTTCGCGCAAATGCATGTGCTGTAAGGATACACTACATTGGCAGGTGCACTGACTCGAATGCATAACATCCTTCGGTGTCTCCTCCACTAAGCTGACAACATAACGATAACGAGCCCTGAGCCCAGGAGACGGGGAAGGGGGCGGGGGGGGGGGGCAAGTGACACACGGAACGCCATAACCTGCCAACCCGAATGACCCCGTGAAGTCACGTAACCCCGGATCCAGCCGGAGCACACCACCAGATGGCGAGGTGCCGCGCACGAGCGGGAAGCCGACCAAGTCACCTCATCCGGCAGCCAGCTGGAGAAGTCGGGGAACATGATGTCATGCGCCTGCTGCTGCAGACAGAGCAGCTCGCGGCGGTCCAGCGAGCTCAGCAGGCTGAGCAGACGCCGGAACCCGGCCGAGCCGCGCCCCAGCTGAAACAGACCGGGCGACCGGGCCGGCTATTCGACTCGAATCGACAGAGCACGCTGCTGATCGGCTGAGGGCTGCAGTATGCCAGGAGGATGGCGATAGTGTAGTGAAGTGCGCGTCTGGAAACCAGGGGTGCGGGGTTCGATTCCCCGCGGCGACTGCTCTTCATGCCAGTGTGAGAGGCAGGCGACGCCATGTAGCCTCAGCAGCTGAGTGCGTCATTAAGCCACAATGACACGTGACTGTGTCCAACGGCTGTAACTATCCGTTCTCACAGCCCCCCCCCCCCCCCTTCAATATTTTGGTCAGTTTGATTTGCGTCACCATAACCCGCATATCACAAACTCCCCAATCTCTCAGTAAACTACATTTGTACCACACCACGTGAAACTCCCCCAGTTCCAAATGGTGTTTCCAGTGCGCACAGTTACGACACCCCATATCAATCGCCAAAGACTTTACACCCACCTCGCCGTCTCTCCCAGACGGCGGGCTGGTTCTCGAAGAACCCTCTTCAGCAGCGCCAACGGCAGCGTCTACTGCACGGTCACCGTGAGACACTGTGATGTTCTTCGCAGGCAGGTTAGCCGCAGTTTCAAAATCCGAAGCCGTGCGTGTCAGGCATGTCGCCATCCCGTCCCCCCTCGAGGTAGCGGTTTCCGATGGCGCTTGCTGCTTCACGTCTTCCAACAAACAGATGGCCAGGCCATCTTCAGAGCGGGTGAACATGTCCTCAGTGGAGCGCGTGGACATGTCCATGTCCAGACCGTCCACCTCCAGGTCGCGACACAACGTCATCAGGTCTGGAAAAAACACACATCAGCAGCCGATAGGTGTAGTCAGGTTATAGAAAAAACAAACAGCTTCCCCTGGTTTCAGCCAGGGGGTGGCATGAAGCCAAGTGATGTCACAAATTGTGCAGACTTGGATTGCAGCGACGGCGGCTTCATCTGCGCGGTCTGTGGTGAGCAGCGTGCCTGTGAGCGTGCGGTGAGCGGCGCGGCCTGTGTGTGAGCGCAGGAACGCTCACCGAGCAGCTGCTGCTGCTCGCCCACCACGGCGCCGGTGTAGAGCAGCTGCAGCAGCTGGTGCAGCTGGTCAGCGGTCACGCCCGGCAGCAGCAGCGATGGGGACGCCTCGGAGCCGGCAGCCAGCAGCAGGCGGCGGAGGCCGGCCGAGCGGGAGGCCAGCACGAGCCGATGCGCCGCTACCGTCGCCCCCGGCACCGCCAACGTAATGTCTGTCATCAGCCCCTGCCAGGACACCAACGCAACTGCATACAGTGGCTGGCATTCCTGTCTGAATTGTTCCTTTTTAGAGAGAGATTGCCACAGAAGACCCTTTAGACTTCGCGATGTTTCCAAAAATGGTACGGAATTGAAAAAGAGGGAACGCCGAAGCCTATTTCAAAGCTGAAACATATTTCAACGCCGAATCTCATTTTGCATTTGACGTCACCCGCGCATCAACGAGGTCGCACACGGACCTCCCAGCTGGACTAATAAACATCCCGAAGCTTCATGTGTTGGATCCTAACTGAAGGCCAAAACAATTCGTCGACTACATGTTGAATAACTGAAAGCATAGGTGATAAAGGTGGGCATATGACGGCAATAAAATATGCCGTCTGTACATCGCTATGGCTGTCAGAAGCACCACAGCCAGATGCATAAATGGTCTAGTCAGTGCACAAATGACGTGCAAGGGGTACCAAGCCAAGTACCAAGGAGTACATTGAAAAACAGACATTAGGACTGTCACTTAGGAATTCCAATTCAAACCTTGCACTTCATTTAGCATGTACACACACTTACACTTCATAGTAAGATCAGAAGACAGAAAAAATGCAGTTCTCGACTTCCCGTCGCACAAAACAGAGGGACCTCGTACCCCCCCCCCCCCTTCTTTTAACTTGCGTGCGCCGGCAGGCTGCGGTGCGCCACCATCCCCTATCTCCGCCGCGCCCTCCGATCGCCAGCGCGTCAGCTGTAGTTCATCAGCCGGCCGCGGGGCAGCGCGCACGGCTAGACTGGCGGTGGGGACGCGTGCGCGGCACCGGCCAGCGTGTGGGACGACCGCGCAGCGTCGAGAAGGTCGAAAGGGACGCCAGAAGCCATGACGGCTTCTGGGTGATCGGTGCCGTGATGAGGGCCGGCCATCCAGAGCGAAGCTGGAGTGGATATTATCCGTGTGGAGCGCAGCCACATCGCAGCAGATGAGAGGGCAGTGACTGACAGCCGGTGGCCGTACCACGCCAACGCGACTCCACAGCGTCAGACGGCCGTGCCAGTGCCAGGTGTCATCAGGTGTCCAAACCACATGGGTGCCATTGTGGGGGAGGCAAGGACAATGTCCATACAGCCAGCTGCAGGACATACACAGCCACAAGTGCAGCATGGCCTGCAATGCTGGTGCAGCCAACACCTCAGCTCAGAGATGATGCACACTGCTCTGCCCAGCAAGGTCAGTGTGGCCTCCCAGATCCAGTTGGCGGGAGACTCTGGCTATATGCTGTAGCTGTGTAGTGTACCTACAGCCATGGACAGCCCAGGACACAGCACAACTTGATTTGATAATGGTTAATGAGCAAACATTTTTTAAAAAAATAATGGCAAGGAGAATAACCTATGGCACTTTTTATTGTCAGGCACTTTGTCCCTCTCATTCAAAAATAGAAACTTCCATTTATTTTCAGGTCACAAAATAAGCCCATTACTAATATCTAGAATGCATGGTAACACAAACCAAAATATATGTCATGCAACTTAATACCATCTTTAGAAGATCCATTTCCAGGCTGCATGTTACAGGTGCATGCACAAATTCTCCTTGCCCACATTTTGTAGTGGAGAAGGAACTATCCATCCATCACATTTCCATAAACTACATTGACTTCTTAAATGTGTTTTGCATAGCAAGTGTTTTTAAAGTATTTTAACCCATAAAGCCTTCACATGATCATAATGCTCTGAAGCACTAGATCTCTTTTCCCTGAAAATGGCAGTTGAACTGCACCAAAGTATGAACACTCAGGTTTATGCAGCACATACACTTAACTGTCAGCTATAATGGACGCCACCCAGCAATGCTGCAAAGGTGGCATGGATTTTTGCAGTTTGATGCATGATACAGCCTTGGTCTGATGTACAGGATCATTTCCCACATTGAGCTCCTTCCCTTCAACTGCCCATCACAATGTTGCTACCTGTGCAAGCTGAAAAGAATGTTGGAATATTTTATGAGAATACAGAATAACTGGAGCTTTAAGTCTAGCACGCACATCTTTCCAGAACTGGAGAAAACTTGCTGACACAGATGAGCTGTAGTTTGACCATTTTAGATTTTCAGTCACCATGCTTGCCAGATCCAAGGAAAAAATGTTGTCATTGAGAGCGGAAACGTATCATATTCTTTCGAAACACATGTGAGATAAATCAATGATGGGTTAAAGCACTTGAGCAACATCCAAGGCTATCTAACAAGGCAAGGCAACATCTCGGGAGGCGTATTTTGTCTGTTACGCGGCACATTCGCTGCACAATCAGCCCTTCAACCTTGAAGAAAGAGCTGCTAAATTAATTACTCTTGAAAAAAGTTTAGAGAACACGGTACTTGTCAACGCTTTAACGTCATATAATTGGTACTATCCAAGCCACTGTTATTCCAAAAGCATCTTAATCCGGCAATTGATAATTTCATTTCAGATGCATAGCCAGAATTTTGGTGAAAACCCCCTAAAGCGGCCAATCGCACAAAAGATTTGGTCCACTTAATTCTGAAGGGACTTCAACATTTCTTCCTTTATTTCTTTCTTTCGATCTGGTCATGCCACCAGGCGCGGTCATTAAATAGTCCTGTAGCATTGGCCCTGAAAAGACCCCTTACACTCTCCGGACATGGGATCTGGTGGGTGCAATACTACGGAGCCCATTACCTTTCCCGTCCAGTGGCTGAAGTGCCCTTTCTTCCCAGCCAGAGGAGCACCTACACAGCACCGACTGCAATTCTTGCGATACGGGGGCGCGACCTGTTGGATCCTGAGGCCGTTGGAGGAATCCATCATGTATCGGTTCCTTCTCCGACACAGAACGCCCTTTAACCGGAGCAGCGGCGTCGGATTAAGGCAGAGGCCCTCTATAACGTAAGAGGATCCCCACCGGTAAAGGGGGACCATTGGTGGGCAGAGCCATGGGCGTGGGAACAGGGGGCTAGGGGACCATGGCCCCCCTTTTTCAAGGTAGGGGCCAACGGTGTTAGCTGCCCCCCCCCCCCCCACTTTTCAGATTAAGGTTGCGTTTGGCTTACTTTTGCACCACATTTAAATGTACATGCCTATTTACCTAGTCCACCAGCCATCTTCCTCAAGATGCGTCATCTTTTTCGTTTGCTTATTGGCCATCGCTTAATGTCACAGTCGCAGGCCGACGCCATGCGGCCTATGGAGACTGCAGCGCCGGGCGTTCAGGCTGTTGTTGCTATGACTGCGAGCGCGTATGTTCAAAACCTAGTTTTTTATTAGTAATCAATTCTGACTGAATCTTGAACATTTTAAGACGAATATGGATTAGCCATGTTAGTACAAGTTTACGACGCCATTTCATTTACAATCTACGTTCAGGGATTCCTCAACACCTCTGAAGAAAACAAAAAAGCACGGAACTGAAGCCTTTGTGACAACTGTTGGACCACCTTTGGCGATAAGGGATGTTCTTGTGTCAATGAGGGTTACTGTGCTGATCCGGGGCCAACTGTGCGGGTCAGAAGGCCTCCTGTGTCAGGGAGGGGAACAATGTGATATGATATATCCTTCCAATGGCCTTCAGATCGGCCGGGAGATCCCGCCCCGTGTCGCTAGAATGACAGCCAGAAGACGCCTCGCGATGGGACGGAGTGGCCCTTCAGTTATTGACCGGAACCGGAACTTGACCGAAACTTCAGTTCAGTTCGGAGCCGGTAATGTGCTCTTGGTGTTCTACTCAGCGGCCCCTTGCCCGGAAGGAAATAAGGGGCCTCATTATTGTTGAGTTAAGTGGAGATCTCATTATTGTTGAATAGAATTGGTCGAAGTAAATTTAAAAAAAACGAACGAGGCCATCCCATGTTTGCCTAAAAACTTTTTCAGAATGAATTAGTGAAAAAGTGCATCAAAAGGTATGAACATGTCCGCCCGCAACCTCGAGAGCAAGGACAGTGATGGTCTGGGCTGCAGCTTCCGTAAAACCGAACGGCGTCGGCCACTGCAAGTGCCACGGGAGTTCAAGTTCCACCACCAGATTCCAGCACCACTTCGCGGTGGTTTAGGGGCCAACCTGCTCTTATCATCAGTCTAAAAATCGCACACGTGAAATATGCGCCCAGACTGCCTTGTAGATGTAAGATTTGATTTCCTGAAGCGTTCAAAGGTACTTCTTTCAGAAGCGTCATCATTTTTGTCCACCCGTTAACCGCGGCTCAATATGAACTGCTGAACCGACGCTCCGCGGACCACGGAGACTGCAACGCCTGGTGTCTAGGTTTTTGTCGCTAAGATTTGCGAGCGCGTATGTTAAAAACCACGTTATATAAATTGCATTACTAATCGGTTCTGGCTGAGTGTTAAACATTTCCAGACAAACATGGTTTGACAATGTTAATGCACATTGTTGACTACTCGATCTACAATCCAAATTTCCACCCTCAAATTTGGGTCAAACATATCGATCTACAATTTACCTTCTCGATGTAATGAATGTTTGTAGAACGCAGATAAAACATTATGAAAAAGCTTCTGAATTCTATCGGCTTAGAAAGAGTCCGCTAAGCCAAGGCAAGTTAAATTAGGTCATGGCACCGGTGATTTATTCCATGCCGTCGTTAAACGCTTGATTTCTGCAGTTTATTAACCTTAACACGCGCTCGGGGGGGGGGGGGGAGGGAATCAAATTGATTCGCCCCACGAAGGTTTTTTCAGAATGGTTTCCGAACGGCGCGGTGCAGCCGCGCCCTATTTGCATAGCTGTAGACAGTTGAATAGCGGATCATTTGACATAAAAAATTAGATGTACTTTGTAAGGCCGCTGACC